CCATGGCGGCACAGGAGCTCCGCTGGCTGACCTTCTTGCTCACAGACTTAGGTGAGCGGCCTAGCTCTGCCCTGGACCTGTATGTTGACAACAGGGCCATGATTCTCCTGTGTCAGGAGCCTCGGCTTGAGGGCAGAGCGAAGCATATCCAGCTGCGGTACTTCCTCCTGCGCGAGCTACAGCAGCATCGCCAGGCCCGTGTAGTTCACTTGGCCTCCGGTGCCAACACAGTTGATATCTTTACTAAGGCGCTTGCGCCTAAAGATCATCAGCGGCACTGTGTTCAGCTCGGTCTTGTTCCTGTAGCTACTCACTTGTTAGGACCCTAATGGTGTACTCTCTACTATTTATATCTGTCTGACTGGCCTTGTGGCCTTACCTCCAGTGGCTGGACTAGTAGTGCCGCCCTGGCTTGCTTTAGTCTTGTTTGTACTCTTGCTGACTGGTCTCTGGACCCCTGCCTCAGTGGTTGGACTAGTAGTGCCACCCTGAGCTGTGTGCTTCTTGCTTAGCTCACCCCTTATCTAGCCTAAGGGGTGTGTCAGCTTATACATATGTTCTATGTAGACGTTATAGGCTAGACTAGGTGTGTGCTTCTAGTGAGTACAACCCAACAGGTATATGTTCTAGGTTTCTCTTTCTAGTAAATCATTATCGTATTCTAACAAAAAAACCACTAGTACAAACGCACCCTGTACCCTCCATTGTAGTTAATTTCGTTACTCTGAGAGCCAAGCCATGCCAAGCAAGCAGGGTTCCCGTTAGCAGACGAAATCCGTCTGTTCATCTGAGAATCTGACTCACATTTTCCGTGTCATCTGATTTTTTGACAACCATTAATTTTCCATCTGAACGACCATCTTGGTTATATATATTTGTATGAATTCTCAGACTAGGTGTAGGCAGTCGTCTGAATTTTCAGATAGCGTGTATATTTCCGTCTGATATCGACACATCTGCCCAGTTCCCCACCCTCCCACCGGCCCATGTGCGCACTGGGCCACCTGTGCCATCCAGTCCTAGGAAACCGTCGCATGCACAACAAAGTCGTCGCGTGGCCTCTCATCACCGCTGTACATTTCTTATCAGATTTACAGCTGCCTGAGTCACATGCTGTTACCGATGCGTCGATATGTGCAAAACCTGGCTTGCTGGCAACACTAAGGCATGATTTGCATGCAGCATACTACCAGCACATTGCCTGCGCTGTAGGGAAGCCACCCTCGATGCCTGCCAGCGCGAGATGAGTTTCGTGCTAGATCAGGCACCGTCCCATGCAAGGTGCCGAGGCGTCCTTGCGTAACGGCAGTGCAAGGCTCTCGTCGTGGCGCCACATCTGTTCAGTCACCCTCTGGTTACAGTTTTTCTACACGAGATGCCTCCCCCCTGCCTCGTTCCTCCTAGTCGTCCTCTCAGCAATGTCGCAAGTGTAGTCTTGTATCTGCTCGACGAATAGGTCTCATGGCTGCTGCCGCTGGTTCCGCAAAGCCAGCGGTAGATTCCCCCGTCGAGGAGCATATAGTAGCCTTGCTCCCCAGGCTTTCAGGCATCGACCTTCTTACTGGTTGTGCTACCATTGTAGCGTCAGCACCAGCACACGCCGCATCAACTGTATCCACCCCACCGTCCCCTTTACCTCTGCTAGACACAGAACCGTGGATCACATTCGCGCCTGAGGGTACAGCGCCCCCCACGTCTGAGCGTCCTAGCAGCCCGTCAAGGTCTCTTAGCAGCCGGTCTGAGCCTCCTACTAGCCAGCCAGGGCGTTCTACCAGCCCGTCACCGCATGCCGCACCTGCCGTTTCCGTCGGCCCGTCCGCTCGCATCTCGGGAGGGCCCGTGCTTCCTGTGCGCAAGCCTGGAAGGGTGCGATACCAGCAGCGCAAGCTTACCTTCGGTAGGCCTGCCTTATCTGCCTCCACGTCCTCCGTACGCCTTGGCGAGCAGCGGGCTCATACTGATCCCGCGCCGTCCACACCGTGGACGACGAAGGTCCGTTTCCCTTAACAGTCGCAGAGCTTCAGGCAAAGGCGGAAGAGCAGTGGACGCGCCATTTTCCGTGGCTCGTCATCTCTGAAACCTCCGAGGGGCGTCCGTGCATGAAGTGCACAGTCTGCATGGTGCACGGTGACGACCCCGACTACCAGTACGGGCGCAATGGAGAGGGCGGGATCATATTCAAAAGCAGACTATGCGGAAGCATCAGCACAGCCAAAAGCACGAGGCGGCGATGGCGCGCAAGCTTCAACTTGACGGCAAGAAGGCAAAGTAGCGGTCCATCGTGGAGTTTGAAAATGGCGACGCGGAATCCAAGCGATTGAAGCGGCTGATGGCGATCGTCCACTTCATCTGCAAGTCGGACGCCCCAGTTCTCCTCTTCGTATCATTTGTGCAGTTCATGGTGCAGCAAGGCACTCCTGATCTGCCAGAGAAAGAACGTGGAACCTACCAAAGCGAGTAAGTGTTGTCAATCCTGCGGGCCGCCTTGTTTGTGCAGGGTTCTCATGATCTTTCTATATGCCACCGTTGCTTGTATTCCGGAGTCAGTCACGGAAAGTCTTGCTATTAAGCAGTGCTTTTACCTCTATGTGTGCAGGTATGGCTTCAACCAACTCATAGAGAACATGGTCGGCTACCTGCGCGCGAAGCAGCTGACCCACATCAAGGCGAGCCCATTTCTCGGCATCCAGCTTGATGAGAGCACCGACAGGCGGCGGGGCAAGCATATGATAGTGTATCTGACTTCCTGCGCGATACGACGGTCGTGACTGAGTTCTTCGCTCACCTGACGGTCGAGAAGTGCGATGCCGCATCGCTTCAAGCCGTCCTGCTGACACACCTGGAGGGACAAGGCGTCGACCTCAACCGCATATGTGGCATAAGCACTGATGGAGCGAGTGTGATGACGGGAGCCCAAAACGGGCTTGTCGCACGACTTCGCACTCGTATTCCTCACCTCGTGTCATGCCACTGTATTGCTCATAGGTAAGTTGTGGCCCACATCAGTTTTGCCTTATGGTTTTCTCTGCCCGGATTCTGACCAGCTTCATTTGCGATGTGTGCAGGGAAGCTCTCGCTGCCAAGGATGCTGCAGCAGAGTTCCCTGACTTGGGGATGGTTGACAAAGTTGTACGATCCTTGGCCGACATTCTCGGCTGGTCGATTGTCGTCCATTCCCGATTCAAAGAGCTGCAGGAGGTGGTCACCGAGACGAACCTCGAGATGCAAGGGATTCACAATATCCGTTGGTTGTCTCGGGGCGAGGCCATCCAGTGTCTGGTTGAGGTTTTCCCTGCAGCAGTGCTTCTCCTAAGGGAGTATGATTCTGCTATGTATGCACTCGTTGTAACCTTGAAGTTCCATTTTCTCTTGTATTTCCTTGCTGACGTTTTGAAGAAGCTCAACGCCCTCAATCTGAAGTTCCAGCAGCGGCAGGTGCGGGTACCATTTAACTGTTTCCAGCATTTTATAATTCTCTGTTTCTAATCCCGTACTCGCCCCTCGCAGGTCGACGTCACCCAGGTGCTTAGGATGGTGGACAACACCATCGTGACGCTGCGGGCTCGTTATGTCAACTACGGCACCTGCTTCGGCCCCGCAGAAGGAGATTCTTCGAATTCCTGAACCTGGTAGCTACTGGAGCCGACATCACCATTAGCGGCGTGGACGCGAACGGCACCCCGACGACTCACACGTACGAGCTACAGACTGCCGACATTGAAGGGCAACACACAGGCGGGAACATCGACTCACTGTAGGAGCTGGCGACGGCGGTGGTGCTGTCCATTATCAGCAAGCTCAGGCGCGACTTTCTGACCTGGCGTCGTTGAACGGCACGCGACTGTTCAAGCAGGGTCTTATCCCCGGACGGCGGCAAAGCGGGAGCGGAAGTTCGTGGCGTGGCTGCAGGCTCTCCGCAACCTCTGGAAGCGCGACTCCTCCGCTCCCGACACACTGCCTGGTGATTGTCGTATTTAAGCATGCATGTGGCTCAAGTCTTTCTCTGCCTTGTTCATGATGTGTATTTACTTCAACCCTGTCTACCATTTACTAAACACCCTCCTTTCTCCCGTGGCTCTTCTGTCCCCTGTCCTGAAGGTGTCCACTGGGGGAAGGCAAAAAAGGAGCTGAATAGCTTCACCACTATCATGTCTACTCACCAGGATGACCTCGACTTTCATGCAAGTTTGAAGAACATGCTCTCCACTCCCGACTGGAAGACGGCCTACCCGAATATTGTCAGCATTTGGAAGACGGTGCTGCCGTTGAGCACTGTCGAGTGCGAGCGCGGCTTCAGCCGCCAGAACGTCATTAAGAGTTGGTTGCGCGGCAACCTGTGTGACGCGAAGCTCAGCGATCTGATGACCATGTCGCTCCTCGACTACGACATGGAGTGGGATGGCATGGTGGCGAAGTGGCGTGGGGTCAAGAAGAGGCGGCCCGCGAGGGAGGTAGTGATGGGGCAGGGTTCACGTTCAGCGAAGAGGCAGAAGCGGTCAGCGGCATTCAAGGCGGCAAGAACAGCAGCGAAGGTAGCAGCAGCAGCAGCACGACAGGCCGAGGCACTTGCAGCAGCAGAGGCGGCGCGGATGTTTGATGAGGATGGTGCAGCAGGCCCGGTATGGAAGATGAAGGGCAAGGGCAGAGCGATTTTGCTAGAGTCTGATAGTGAGGAGGATGAGCAAGGATGCAGCAGTGGCAGTGAGTCTGAGTAGGGTAGGGTTAATGCTAGTTGGTTCTGCAGCGATATTGGTTGGAACTTGGAAGCTCTAGTGAGCTTGTAGGATGTTAGCAGCAAGCCTAAGTCATTGGTAGTGATAGAGTAGCTGCTGTAGGATGTTTGTTGGCTACAACTGTGGCTCGTAGGATGTTTCTTTCTAGAGCCCGTAGCTGCTGCTGTCGTAGGAGGAATCTAGTGTTGTCTCTGGAAGACATCTAAGTCAAAGCCTAGAGGATGAGCAGCTTAATTTTCAGGAGGCAAATTTCATCTGCAAACACAGATAAGGCTGTATACTTCATCTGAAATTTTAGACCAAGCCAAACAGCTCATATGATGGTCAGACAACTTTCGTACCCTGTCTGATTCTCAGACTGCCCTAAAAGTTAGCAGGAACTTTGCATGCAAGGCAGTAATGCAATAGGGCCTAAGCCTAATTGTCTCTCAGCATTAACGACTTGACCAGAGGTAGGGCTTGAGAAAATTCAGCAGGTGATGGCTTGAGCGTGACAACCTGCGGGCTAAGAGCGGCCCGGTTATGCTGCAGACGAGCTCTCACCGCTGTCTTGAGATGCCTTAAAGCGGGAGGGAGTAAGTGCCTCACAGCAGGAACGGCTTGGCAGGAGGAAGGCTCAGAAGAGTGCGAGGGCTTGCGGGTGGCCACCTGAGGGCCAAGAGCAGCCCAGTGCTGGCAGGAGATGCGCCACACATAGCAGCAGCTCTAGCAGCAGAGGCCCCACATAGCTCCCTCCCTTCCCTTCCTTACCCTCCCCTTCTAGCCTAGCAGCAGCTCTAGCAGTGGAGAGCCTGGCAAGCAGCTCTAAAGAAGGAACGGCTTGGCCGGAGGGAAGGCCTCAGCGAAGTTAGAAGAGAGTGAGGGCTTGAGAGTGACCACCTGCGGGCCGAGAGCCGCCCAGTGCTGCTGCAGACACGCCCTCACCGCCGCCTGCTCGTCCTGCAAACCTGTGAGACCTGGTGCGAAGGGGGAAAGGGGAAGGGGAAGGGGGAAGGGGAAGGGGAAGGGGAAGGGGGAAGGGGGAAGGGGGAAGGAGCAAGGGCTGAAAGTTCAGTTGCAAGGATCCGCAAAGCACACGCAAGAGCGGTCCAGTCTGGTGCATACATGCCTCCACATCCACTCCGTGCATCAGTGCCATTTGTCCCACTCTCACTTAGCTTATGAGACGATTCAAAGCACTCTAACGGCCTTCACCTGTTCCCTTACTCATCATCCACACCAGCCGCCTCCGAAGGTGATTTTTGCGTCGACTAAAAAACCACCGACTCAAAGCACTCTAGCCAGCCTTCAGCTGTTCCCCTTATTCATCCTCCACACCAACCGCCTCCTCCAATACAATCTCCCCTTGTAACATAGCCGTCTCATAGTCACATAGCCGTCACATAGTCACATCACATAGCCGTCACATATTCACATCACATAGCCGTCACATAGTCAAATAATACGTAGCTCAGGCTCTGCCCGGTCTGGCAGCTAACCTAGCCCACGCAGCTCTTCTCGTCTACCTCCATCTCTAATAGTCTAGCGCCAGCTCTTCCCTGTACTCATCCTCCACGCCAGCCCCTCCTCCAATCTCCCCTAGTCCTGTAGCTAGCTCAGGCTCTGTCTGCTCTGGCAGCCAAATATCCCCACCCAGCTCTTCTCCTCTACCTCCATCTCTAATACTCTAGCTCCAGCTCGTCCCCGTACTCAGCCTCCACGTCAGCATCCGCCAATGCCATTCTCCCTAGCAAGTGACCTACCAGCCTTAAAGCATCCCGATTCTCACCTAGCTCGAGCTCGATCCCATACTCGTCCTCCACGTCAGCCTCCTCCTCCTCCATCGAGCCAATCATGGTCGCCGCTTCCGCATACCGCCTCATCAGCGCGGCCTCCAGCTCAGCATCGTCAAGATCCCCATCTAGGTCGATCTGGATTGGGGCAGGGGGAGAAGTAGAGCGATGTGACCACGTGTCACGGCGAGGTGCTTGCCTCATCAGCACGGCCTCCAGCTCGGCATCATCGAGATCCCCGTCCAGGTCGATCTGGATGGGGGAGAGGCAAGGCCAAGCCAAGAGACAATATGCGAAACGGGCCGTGTAGAGATGAGCGAGTGTAAGTGAGCCCGTGCTTGGCCACACATGGGCACTGCCTCATCAACGCTGCCTCCAGCTCAGCGTCGCCGAGATCCCAGTCCAGGTCGATCTGGGTACGATGGGGGAGGAGGAGAAGAAAGTGCATGCAAGAGCAGGAAACACCCACAAGGGGCAGCAGCGGACATGGAGATCCCCGTGTAGGTCGATCTAAACAGGATGGGGGAGGGCAGAAGGGTGAGCATGCATATATGGAAGGCAGCACCCGCGAGGCGCAATGGCCAAGGACACGCATAGCGCCTCATCAGCTCTGCTTCCAGGTCAGCGCCGCTGAGATTCTCGTCCCGGCATGGGAGTGGCCTGTGTGGTGCACATGCCTGAATTTGGGCATGCGTCTCCGGCACGGGAGTGGCATGTGTGATGCATTCGGATGTGTTTTGTTTTTGAGAATTCTCCCACCATTCCCGTGCCTGGACGAGAAACACAACAGATTCTTGTCCAGACACGGGAGCGGCGTGTGTGGTGCACATGCCTCAATGTGGCCATGCATCCCTCCCAGGCACGGGAGTGGCACGTGTGATGCAACCAAAAATCTTTTGGTGTCCAATCCATGTTATAGAGGTTTAGTTCTATCTCCCGCCACTTCGGAGAACGCATGCAAGAAGCAACAACCCCCTATCTCACCTCCTCCTCCTCATCCTCCTCCTCTTCTTCTTCTTCGTCATCGTCATCCCCCATCTCCCCCTCCTCGCTCCCCTCCATGCTGCTCGCCTCCTCCTTCACCGCTTTCAGCCGCAGCATCGCTGCCATTGCTGCTGCCAGCACGACTGCTGGGAGCGACGCGCCTGTCTGCGCTGCTGCTGCTGCCGACTGCTGCACCAGGCAAGTCAGGGCGAGAACTGAAAGGGGCAAAAGGGTTGGTGGGGGGGCGGAAGTGGGGAAGGGAGAGTTTGGCTTGCCTGCTGTGCTCCTTGACCTCTTTCAGCCGCACCATCTCTGCCATCGCTGCTGCCAGCACCGCTGCTGGGAGGGACGCCCTGGTCTGCTTTGCTGCTGCTTCTGACTGCTGCACCAGGCATGAGAGGGCGAGAACAGCAACGGGCAATGGAGAAGGGGGGACAGGGGCGAGGGAAGGGGGGGGGAAGGGCCAACCCTCTTCAACACGCTGCTACTCCGTTTATATGGCTAGAAGTTCCCTCGAACCATGTGTTCCCTCTAACCATGTGTTCCCCTCGAACCATGTGTTCCCTCGTACCATGTGTTCCCTCGTACCATGTGTTCCCTCGTACCATGTGTTCCCTCGTACCATGTGTTCCCTCGTACCATGTGTTCCCTCGTACCATGTGTTCCCTCGAACCATGTGTTCCCTCGTACCATGTGTTCCCTCGTACCATGTGTTCCTCGTACCATGTGTTCCCTCGAACCATGTGTTCCCTCGTACCATGTGTTCCCTCGTACCATGTGTTCCCTCGTACCATGTGTTCCCTCGAACCATGTGTTCCCTCGTACCATGTGTTCCCTCGTACCATGTGTTCCCTCGTACCATGTGTTCCCTCGTACCATGTGTTCCCTCGTACCATGTGTTCCCTCGTACCATGTGTTCGCTCGTACCATGTGTTCCCTCAAACCATGTGTTCCCTCGTACCATGTGTTCCCTCGTACCATGTGTTCCCTCGTACCATGTGTTCCCTCGAACCATGTGTTCCCTCGTACCATGTGTTCCCTCGTACCATGTGTTCCCTCGTACCATGTGTTCCCTCGTACCATGTGTTCCCTCGAACCATGTGTTCCCTCGTACCATGTGTTCCCTCGTACCATGTGTTCCCTCGTACCATGTGTTCCCTCGTACCATGTGTTCCCTCGTACCATGTGTTCCCTCGTACCATGTGTTCGCTCGTACCATGTGTTCCCTCAAACCATGTGTTCCCTCGTACCATGTGTTCCCTCGTACCATGTGTTCCCTCGTACCATGTGTTCCCTCGTACCATGTGTTCCCTCGTACCATGTGTTCCCTCGTACCATGTGTTCCCTCGAACCATGTGTTCCCTCGAACCATGTGTTCCCTCGAACCATGTGTTCCCTCGTACCATGTGTTCCCTCGTACCATGTGTTCTCTCCTTCTGCATGCAAGGCAGCTCTGACCATGGAAAATGTGACAAGCTGATTAAACGACCACGCACCTGTGAGCTTCAGCTCTGATTCCAAGACCAGCCCCGGCTCCGCGTGCAAGGCTAGAAGGCTCTCCACACCCCGCACCACCACTCCCAGCATCAATCCCCCCACCACTTGGGAGTCTGAGATCGAGTTGATTAAACAACCACCCACCTGTGGACTTGAGATCCGACTCCAAGAGCAACCCAGGTTCTGCTGCAAGGGTAGAAGTCTGTCCATGCACCTCACCACCGCCCCCAGCATCAACCCCTTCTCCGGGTAGTCGAAGTCTCAGCTCCAAAGTAAGGAGCTGACTAAACAACCACCCACCTGTGAGCTTCAGCTCTGATTCCAAGACCAGCCCAGGCTCTGCGTGCAAGGCTAGCAGGCTCTCCACGCACCGTACCACCACCCCAGCATCAACCCCCCTCCTCCCCTCCTCCCCCTTCTCCCCCTCTCCTTCCCCCGCCTCCTTCCCCCCAGCAGGAGCAGCAGGCGCGGGGGAGAGGAGGAGGGGGAAGACGGAGGCGGGGGAGGCGAGGAGGGAGGAGAAGAGGGAGAGGAGGAGGGGCTTGGCGATGTAGCGGATGGTGGAGAGGGAGGGGGAGGAGGAGAGGCGAGTCAGGGAGGCCTGCCATGGGGTGAGGGGAAGAGAGGAGAATGTGATGTGGGACACATGGTGAGTCACAATTGGGACAGACCATGGGGATTGAAGAGGGTGTTTTTTAGAATTCTCAAAAACACCCTGCAAAAGGTGAGTCACAATGGGACAGACCATGGGGATCGAAGAGGGTGTTCTTTAGAAGTATCGAAAACACACGGCATCGAAGAGGGTGTTTTTTAGAATTCTCAAAAACACCCTGCAAATGGTGAGTCACAAATGGGACAGACCATGGGGATCGAAGAGGGTGTTTTTGAGAATTCTCAATAACACCTTGCAAAATTAAGGGTGTTTTTGGGAATTCTAAGAAACACCCTGCAAATGGTGAGTCACAAATGGAACAGACCATGGGGATGGAAGAGGGAGAAGAGGAGGAGAGGTGAGTGAGGGAGGCTTACCAAGGAAGGGGGGGGGGAGGAGAGAGGGGTTGGTGGGAGGGAGGAAGAATGTGGGACACGTGGTGTGAGTGCGCTGCGCTGCGCTGCAAAGAACTGAATTCTGACGGTGGAAAGGAAGGGTTTAAGGCACCTCGAGAATCAAGGAGGGGGGAGACGGGGGAGAGGCGGGGAGGCTTGGCAATGTAGCGGACAGAAGAGACGGATGAGGAGGAGGGGAGTCGAGTAAGACGGGCCTCCCGGAGGGGGGATGGGACGGAAGGTGGGACACATGGTGAGTAAAATCGTGCTAGATGGTGCACAGGGAGGGTGCTGGGGTACCTCGAAACGGGACGAGGGAGGAGATAAGGTAGATGGGGAGGGGGAGAGTGAGGGGGGTTTGGGGAAGCTGCAACTGAGAGGGGCCTGGGGAAGGTGCAACTGAGGGGGCCTGGGGAAGGTGCAACTGAGGGAGGGCAGGTGAAAATGATGTCCGCTCGTTCTCTTTTCCTCAGCAAACCTCCCAGCCAGGGCAGCGGCAACGGGGGCCCATTCAGCGCCACGGCAGCAGCATTCAGCAGCATGTGGGAGTGTGGGGTGGTCGGGTGGGGTGGGGTGGGGTGGGGTGGGGTGGGGTGGTGTGCCATCTCCTTATCTCTGTCTCACCTCTGCAAATCTCCCTGCCAGGGCAGCAGCAACAGGCCCCCCATTGAGCGCCACGGCAGCAGCGTTCAGCAGCATGTGGGAGTGCCTGGATGCGCGCCACGTGGCAGCAGGAGAGCCGTCGGAGAGCGCAGACGAGACGAAGCACGCGATGCCTTCGAGGATGGAGCGGGGCGGCACGGGTGGCAGAGGAGGCGGCGGAGGGGCCTTGGAAATGAAGTCTGGCAGCGGCGTCCGGCTCTGGTATGGTATGGGTTCAAACATTCAATTGCATGGGAACAGCAGGCGCAGAGGAAAGGACAGGAAAAGAAAGTGACGGAACCCAATATATAGTAAAAAAAAAATCTACAATCAGGCGGCAGCACGGGCAGGAGAGGAGGCGGCGGAGGGGCCTTGCAAATGAAGTCTGGGAGGGGCATAAGGCTGTTGAAAAGGGTTTGAATGAATGAAGGGGAAGCAGGCACCCATAAGAAAGGGAGAGGGAGGGAGAGAGCATGAGTGATATGCTCAAGAGCCGTATGACCTCCTTGAGGCGCACGAAAGAAAGCTTTTGAGTCGACTCAAAGGGAGGGAGAGAGCATGAGTGATATGCTCAAGAGCCATATGACCTCCTTGAGGCGCACACAAGAAAGCTTTTGAGTCGACTCAAAGGGAGGGAGAGAGCATGAGTGATATGCTCAAGAGCCGTTTTGTTGTTGAGTATCTGTTTTAGGCTTTTATCTGGGATGTAGTCAACTTAGTACATTTCTCTATTATGTGTAATGTGTTACATTATATTAGGTGTAGACATTAGTGGTTAGGTTATATTAGGAATAGGGTGCCCCCAAGTGATTTATCAAAGGCTAGGCACCCCAAAATCCGAATTGGGGTACCTCACCACGCATCCCAACATTTGGGACGGCTCCAACCTGGACCCACGTTTCTCAACCATGAAAACGCGGTCCAGCTTGTGGAACCACGAATCCAACTTGTGGAATCGCGGTTCCACTAGTGGGGCGCTTCCAGGCCCACTTGAGGGTTCCTCACGTCCCCACCTTGACTGTGGGCGACTTGAGCACCCAATTGGGCACCCCAAGCTCTTGGGTGCCATTCTCCTCACCTGGACCAGCCCAAGTCGCCCACACTTCTCCATCTCTCTCTTCACACAATCTGGGCCTACTTAGCCCAATATCTTTGTCATCTTTATTTACCCTTTTGTCTTACACTTTCTGGACTCCTCTGGAACATATCTTACCATCTCCAACTTGTGCATCTTCCAGCTATGCACATCGAGTCTACTTTTCTACATGGTAATCAGAGCTATAGCTGAGCCTCTATTGGTCAGCCCATCTGCATCTGAGTAGATTTTTCAACCGTAAATTTTCTATAACGTTCCTCCTACCCTTGGCAACCTTTTCTTTGACTTCCAGCTAAGGCCATCGCGTAAATTTTTGTGGACGTCCTCTTTGGGGCTATGGCCACTGTGGACAGCCATTTGGGACAACTCACTTTACCCTCCCTCCTCCCCGATGGCTCAACTTCAACCACTGGAAGCGGATGGTGGTTCTAACCTTTCAACTCGTCGGCATCGTGGTGCCCTTGGCGACTCCACCATCACCTCTTCGTCCACCGGTCCTAGTGCTTCTTCAACGGCTGACGCACCGGCCACTCCATCCAACGAGGCTCGTCGGCCCCCTACTACCCCTACCATTGCAGCAGCTGAGCAAGAACAGCGGGCCTTGCTGTACCTTCTCTCCACACTTCCAACCCAGCTCTCCATGTCTGTTTCTCCAACCGAGACTGCTGCGGGTTGTGGGCTCTTCTTAACAAGAAGTTTGCCAAAACTGGCAATCAAGCTCAATTTGGTCTGCTGCGACAACTCTTCTCTGTCCGCATGGATCCCGGCCAGTCCGTCCATGCCTACTTTGACACGTTCGTGGCCTCGATCTGCAACTGCAAACCAGCGGATATAGTCTTCCCTCTTGGGTGACTATCACCTCTATCCTTCTCGTCTTCACCGGTCCTATGACACCCTTACCGAGACTCTTTGCTCTGTCCGAGAAATCAAAGATATGACCCTTGAGTGGCTTGAGGGACGCCTTGTGGATGCTGAATGGGACCGTGCTGCCAAGTAATCTTCAATCCCGGCTGATGGTGCTTATTGCAAGGCCGCTGGTCATGCCATCACCAACTGCCCACAACTCGAGAAGAAGAAACGGCGACAGCAATAGCAGCAGCCGCAGCAGCAGCAGCAGCCGCCGCAGCAGCAGCAGCCGCACCTGCACCAACAGCAGCACCACCAGCCATACCACAGCAGCTCCAGCAGTTCAACTTCCGTTCTCCCACATCCAGCTCGCCCAACAAGGCATCCACGCACTCCCCTCTGCCTTATTCTGCCCACTCTGCCCAGCCCATTCTCCCCTCTCCTCGCTACGACCCACTTCCCCGACACCTGCCACTCCTCCTTTGTCCACGGCATTGATGTCTTCTCCACTTGACCCTCGCTATGCTGATGTCACTACCGCTCACTTACTCCCTGCCTCTTGGCTGCCATCGCTCCCATTCCTTCCCTCGCTCTTTGTGCTCCCTCCCTCCTGCTCTTCCTTTTCTCCATTATGTTTCAGCGCCCTCTAGCCTCCGCCTTCACCAGCTCCCATTCCTCCTCCCCCTCCTCCTGGCTCCTTGACTCCGGCGCTTCATCCCATCTATGCAATAATCCTCATATATTCCTTCCCTCCACCGGCCGTCCCCTGGTAGTGGCATTCGATTTGGCGGCGGTGAACAGTATCTTGCCCAAGGCATTGGTGATATCATCCTCTATGCTCATCACGAGAACCATACGCATCCTGTTACCCTCCACGATGTCCTCTATATTCCTCAAACCATTCACAACATCATCTCCGTGCGCAAGCTCAAGGAAGAGGGTCTCACCACCCACTTTCCCCTTCATGCTCCAGCCCAACTGTTCAAGGGGTCCACCCTCTTGCTGTTGCCTACGAGGATATGAAGTTGTTTTTCATTTCTCTCAGCCCTGCTGCCTTAACCCCGCAAGCTACGGCTTCTACTGTGTCGACCCCGTTTCCACTTTGTTCCAGCATCGTGTCTGCTGCCGCTACTCTCCTTTGGCATCGCGCTTTGGGCATCTCAACGGCCCCAGCTTGCAGCAACTTCACTCTGAACGGATGGTCAGCGGTCTCCAACTCCAGGGTTCCCTCCCTTCCAATTGCACTTCGTGCCTTCGTGGGAAGCAGACTCGCCAACCGTTCCACCTTCCATCTCCTCCTCCTCTGCCCCGCTTGACCTCGTTCACACGGATGTCGCTGGCCCCTTTCCCATTGGCACCACCTTTGGCGGCGCCACCTATATCCTCACCTTCATTGACGACTTCAGCCGCTTTACCACCATCTACCTCCTCAAATCGCGCTCTGCCGTCCTCTCCACCTTTCAGCGCTATCTCGCTACTGTTGAACGCCAACGTAACACGCGCCTCAAGGCGCTGCAATCAGATGGTGCCCCGGAGTATCTTTCCAAGCTTTTCAGACCTTCCTCGATTCGCATGGCATCACCCGGCGGGTTTCAGCCCCATATACTCCGCAGCAAATGGCGTCGCGGAGCGGCTGAACCGCACCATCCTGGACATGGTGCGGTGCATGCTACATGATAGCGCTTCCTCGTGGTTGGTGGGGAGAAGCGGCCCTCACCGCTGCCTACATTCGGAATCACTCTCCTCCCGTTCGCTCCCTCGTTCCGTCACCCCTATGGAGCTGTGGACGGTCAGCGGCCGGATGTCACGCACTTTCGCGTGTTTGGCTGCCCGTTTCTGTGCTTCTACCTTCTCTTCAGCAGCCTTCTAAATTACATGACCGTAGCGCCGCGGGCGTCTTACTTGGCTACGGAGTCCTTGACGGTTACAAAGCATATCGCATTTACGTCCCTTCCCTTCGCCGCGTGGTCTACTCCCGCGATGTCACTTTCCTTGAAACATCCCCTTCACCACCTCCTTCTCCACAACCGTCACCACCCCCACCTCCGCCCCCACTCCCACCACCATATCTTTTCCCCTTCACCCGTCTTCCCAGCCTACCACTTCCATCACCCCTGCCACCTCGCACCCGCCTCCTCCACCTCCCGGAGCTATCTCTCCCACTTCCACTCCCGCTGCATCTCCCTTCCCCCCCTCCCCACCCCATCCCTTCAGCCTTACACGCTTCCATCCTTCCTCCAGCCCGCCTCTCACCTTCTTCCTCACCCCTTCCCTTTCCCTATCTTCCATCACCAGACGCCCAAGACTTTCACCTCACCTTTCCCGATCCTTCCTCTCGAACCATCCTTGCTGAAGATCGCGCGTCCACCATTTCCTTCACGATTTTGCACACATAGCCCTTCATTCCACTACGAGCCCGCTACCATCATAGCCGCCCGTTATTGCCCTGCTGCTCCCCACTGGCTAGCCGCTGCTGATGCCGAAATCGCTGCTCTCCTCGCCAACAACACTTACAGCATTGTGCCCACGCCACCCGGCTGCACCCCCATACCTTGCAAGTGGGTGTTCAAGGTCAAAGAAAACCCAAATGGGTCCATTGAGCGTTATAAGGCTCGCTTGGTGGTCAAAGGCTTCAAGCAACGTGAAGGCATCGACTACACGGAGACTTTTGCACCTACCATTCGCTTTGCCCACGCTCCGCTTGCTCCTCACCCTTGCTGCCGCTCTTGATCTTGAGATGCATCAGCTCGACATCTCCAATGCCTTTCTCAACGGCGATCTTGACGAGCTCATCTACATGACTCAACCCCCCGGCTTCGAGCTCACTGCTCCTGATGGCTCTCCTCAAGTTTGTTTGCTGCACAAGCCCCTATATGACCTCAAACAAGCGCCCCGCTGCTGGTACAAAAAGCTGAAAGAGGAGCTTCTCTCCTTTGGCCTTCACACCTCCGACGCTGACCCTGGCCTCTTCATCACCGCCTCCTCTTCACCTCTCCTCCCTCATCCATCCCACTTCTTCGTCCTTGTCTACGTGGACGACCTCATCATCCTATCTACCACTCTTGCACCCCTTACCACCTTCAAGACGTCTCTGGCCAGTCGCTTTAAACTCCGTGACCTCGGCCCCCTCACCTATTACCTCGGCCTCCACCTAGACCGCGACCGCTCTTCCCGCACTCTCCATGCCCACCAGTCCAAATTTATTGCTGCGCTCCTATCCACCTATTCGCTCTCCCATTCCAACCCCAGCCATACCCCCATGGACTCTAAGCTCCTCCTCCCTTCCCACCCCTCTTCACCGCCATCTCAAACCGTCCCATATCCCTCCTTGGTTGGCTCTCTCATGTACGCCATGGTCGCTACTCGTCCTGACATCGCCCACTCCACTGGCCTTCTCTCCCGTCACCTCCACTCATGGTCCGACCCTCATTGGCTGGCTGCCAAACGTGCTCTCCGCTACCTCAAGGGAACATCTTCCCATGGTTTACTGCTTGGTGGCAATCCTCCTCCCTCCACCTCATCGGCTACTGTGATGCTTCATGGGCCTCCGAAAGTGAGGATCGCCGTTCCCTCACTACCTATCTCTTTTTTCTTGGTCCTTCCCTCATCTCCTGGCAATCCAAGAGGCAATGTGTGGTGGCCACGTCCTCTTGTGAGGCCGAATACTATGCGCTTGGTGCGGCAGCCCATGAAGCTCTTTGGCTCCGCACTCTCCTCACCTCCCTTGGACTTCCCCCCGCTGGTCCCACCCCTTTGATCTGTGACAACACAAGCGCCATTGTCTTGGCCAAGGACGCTGGTGTCTTCCATGCCCGTGCCAAGCACATTGACATCCGACATCATTTCCTCCGTGATCACGTTCACAAGGGCCATATCTCACTGCACTATGTGCCTACTCATGACAACCTTGCTGATCTCGGTACCAAGCCTCTTTCCCGTGACACTTTTCAGCGTCTCCGGTCCTGCATTGGCCTACGCCCTGCCTCTTCTTCCCGAGACTCTCCCTTGGTGTCACCCTAAGGGGGGGTGTTGTTGAGTATCTGTTTTAGGCTTTTATCTGGGATGTAGTCAACTTAGTACATTTCTCTATTATGTGTAATGTGTTACATTATATTAGGTGTAGACATTAGTGGTTAGCTTATATTAGGAATAGGGTGCCCCCCAAGTGATTTTATCAAAGGCTAGGCACCCCAAAATCCGAATTGGGGTACCTCACCACGCATCCCACATTTGGGACGCGGCTCCAACCTGGACCCACGTTTCTCAACCATGAAAACGCGGCTCCAGCTTGTGGAACCACGAATCCAACTTGTGGAATCGCGGTTCCACTAGTGGGGGCGCTTCCAGGCCCACTTTGAGGGTTCCTCACGTCCCCACCTTGACTGTGGGCGACTTGAGCACCCAATTGGGCACCCCAAGTCTCTTGGGTGCCATTCTCCTCACCTGGACCAGCCCAAGTCGCCCACACTTCTCCATCTCTCTCTTCACCACAATCTGGGCCTACTTAGCCCAATATCTTTGTCATCTTTATTTACCCTTTTGTCTTACACTTTCTGGGACTCCTCTTGGAACATATCTTTACCATCTCCAACTTGTGCATCTTCCAGCTATGCACATCGAGTCTACTTTTCTACACGTTTGATCTTCTTGAGGAGCACAAAAGAAAGGCGCATTCAGCAATCAGATCCACCCGCTTGTCCAGCAGAGCTTCCTCCACTGCCCCACCAGAGTCTTGTCTATGTTATGTTTTGCATGCGCTTGTTGAGCAACGACAAAGGAAGAGAATACTAAGAGAATACTAAGAGAATAAGAAGAGAATACTAGGAGAATAAGAAGAGAACACTAAGAGAATACTAAGAGAATAAGAAGAGAATACTAAGAGAATACTAAGAGAATAAGAAGAGAATACTAAGAGAATACTAAAAGAATAGCAGAGAATACTAAGAGAATACCATTCACGTGTAGCGGCAGCACAGCGTCAAAGGCTTGAAACACTGCTCGTGCTCATCCTGCTCTCATGCTGTCCATTCAGCAATCAGCTCCACCCACGAGTCAACCAGTGGCTCAAGAAGTCTAGATTGAGGCACCTCAACTTTCTCCACCCACGTGTCCAGCAATGCCTCAAGAAGAGAAGAGCATACTCACGTTCAACAGAAGCAGAGAATCGATGGTCTGGAACACCGCCTCGTCCTCATCCTCCTCCCAAGCCGTCCACTCTGCAATCAGCTCCACCCACTTGTCCAACAGGGGCACCACCTGCCACTGCCCCACCAGCACCACTGCATCCGCTGCTGCAGCACCAGCTGTAGCAGCAGCGGTTGTAGCAGCAGCAGCGGTTGTAGCAGCAGCGGTTGTAGCAGCAGGGACGGAGGAGGAGGATGAGGAGGGAACGTTGGCAGCGGCTTTGAGCACGAAGGAGAGCAGCAGAGAGGCGTCGAACCACGAGGTGGGGGGCGGCTCCTTGTCCTCCCCTTGCTCTGATGCTGGTGCGACTGATGGCTGGGTCTTCAAGAGGGATGGATCTACCTGAGGTGGGGGGGAGGGGGAGGGGGAGGGGATGGGAGGGGAGGGAGGGGAGAGAAGAACAGGGAACGGGGGGTTCGGAGAAGGAAGGAGAGCAGCAGAGAGGTGTCGAACCATGAGGGGGGGGGTGGCTCCTTGCCCTCCTCGCTGCCTTGCTCCTTGTAGCTGCCAGTGCTGATGCTGCGAGTGATGGATCGACCTGATGGGGGGGGGGGGAGAACAAGGAAGTGAGTGGCTGTTAGGTGCGGAATACTGGTAGGTAGAAGAGGTGAGGAAAGCGCTGCTGAGGAATGCTGAAAGGCGGTGAGGAGCAAGTTCTGAGGAGCAAGTTCTGAGGAGCAAGTTCTGAGGAGCAAGTTCTGAGGAGCACGTTCTGAGGAGCAAGTTCTGAGGAGCAAGTTCTGAGGAGCACGTTCTGAGGAGCAAGTTCTGAGGAGCAAGTTCTGAGGAGCAAGTTCTGAGGAGCAAGTTCTGAGGAGCAAGTTCTGAGGAGCACGTTCTGAGGAGCACGTTCTGAGGAGCACGTTCTGAGGAGCACGTTCTGAGGAGCACGTTCTGAGGAGCAAGTTCTGAGGAGCACGTTCTGAGGAGCAAGTTCTGAGGAGCAAGTTCTGAGGAGCAAGTTCTGAGGAGCAAGTTCTGAGGAGCAAGTTCTGAGGAGCACGTTCTGAGGAGCAAGTTCTGAGGAGCACGTTCTGAGGAGCACGTTCTGAGGAGCACGTTCTGAGGAGCAAGTTCTGAGGAGCACGTTCTGAGGAGCAAGTTCTGAGGAGCACGTTCTGAGGAGCAAGTTCTGAGGAGCACGTTCTGAGGAGCAAGTTCTGAGGAGCAAGTTCTGAGGAGCAAGTTCTGAGGAGCACGTTCTGAGGAGCAAGTTCTGAGGAGCAGATTCTGAGGAGCACGTTCTGAGGAGCAAGTTCTGAGGAGCAAGTTCTGAGGAGCAAGTTCTGAGGAGCAAGTTCTGAGGAGCAAGTTCTGAGGAGCACGTTCTGAGGAGCAAGTTCTGAGGAGCACGTTCTGAGGAGCACGTTCTGAGGAGCACGTTCTGAGGAGCAAGTTCTGAGGAGCACGTTCTGAGGAGCAAGTTCTGAGGAGCACGTTCTGAGGAGCAAGTTCTGAGGAGCACGTTCTGAGGAGCAAGTTCTGAGGAGCAAGTTCTGAGGAGCAAGTTCTGAGGAGCACGTTCTGAGGAGCAAGTTCTGAGGAGCAGATTCTGAGGAGCACGTTCTGAGGAGCAAGTTCTGAGGAGCAGATTCTGAGGAGCACGTTCTGAGGAGCAAGTTCTGAGGAGCAAGTTCTGAGGAGCAAGTTCTGAGGAGCAAGTTCTGAGGAGCACGTTCTGAGGAGCACGTTCTGAGGAGCACGTTCTGAGGAGCACGTTCTGAGGAGCAAGTTCTGAGGAGCAAGTTCTGAGGAGCAAGTTCTGAGGAGCAAGTTCTGAGGAGCAAGTTCTGAGGAGCAAGTTCTGAGGAGCAAGTTCTGAGGAGCACGTTCTGAGGAGCAAGTTCTGAGGAGCAAGTTCTGAGGAGCAAGTTCTGAGGAGCACGTTCTGAGGAGCAAGTTCTGAGGAGCAAGTTCTGAGGAGCAAGTTCTGAGGAGCAAGTTCTGAGGAGCAAGTTCTGAGGAGCAAGTTCTGAGGAGCAAGTTCTGAGGAGCAAGTTCTGAGGAGCAAGTTCTGAGGAGCACGTTCTGAGGAGCAAGTTCTGAGGAGCACGTTCTGAGGAGCACGTTCTGAGGAGCACGTTCTGAGGAGCAAGTTCTGAGGAGCACGTTCTGAGGAGCAAGTTCTGAGGAGCACGTTCTGAGGAGCAAGTTCTGAGGAGCACGTTCTGAGGAGCAAGTTCTGAGGAGCAAGTTCTGAGGAGCAAGTTCTGAGGAGCACGTTCTGAGGAGCAAGTTCTGAGGAGCAGATTCTGAGGAGCACGTTCTGAGGAGCAAGTTCTGAGGAGCAAGTTCTGAGGAGCAAGTTCTGAGGAGCAAGTTCTGAGGAGCACGTTCTGAGGAGCACGTTCTGAGGAGCACGTTCTGAGGAGCAAGTTCTGAGGAGCAGATTCTGAGGAGCACGTTCTGAGGAGCACGTTCTGAGGAGCACGTTCTGAGGAGCAAGTTCTGAGGAGCAAGTTCTGAGGAGCACGTTCTGAGGAGCAAGTTCTGAGGAGCACGTTCTGAGGAGCACGTTCTGAGGAGCAAGTTCTGAGGAGCACGTTCTGAGGAGCAAGTTCTGAGGAGCACGTTCTGAGGAGCAAGTTCTGAGGAGCAAGTTCTGAGGAGCAAGTTCTGAGGAGCACGTTCTGAGGAGCAAGTTCTGAGGAGCACGTTCTGAGGAGCAAGTTCTGAGGAGCACGTTCTGAGGAGCAAGTTCTGAGGAGCACGTTCTGAGGAGCAGTTCTGAGGAGCAAGTTCTGAGGAGCAAGTTCTGAGGAGCAAGTTCTGAGGAGCACGTTCTGAGGAGCAAGTTCTGAGGAGCAGATTCTGAGGAGCACGTTCTGAGGAGCAAGTTCTGAGGAGCAAGTTCTGAGGAGCACGTTCTGAGGAGCACGTTCTGAGGAGCACGTTCTGAGGAGCAAGTTCTGAGGAGCAAGTTCTGAGGAGCAAGTTCTGAGGAGCACGTTCTGAGGAGCACGTTCTGAGGAGCAAGTTCTGAGGAGCAGATTCTGAGGAGCACGTTCTGAGGAGCACGTTCTGAGGAGCACGTTCTGAGGAGCAAGTTCTGAGGAGCAAGTTCTGAGGAGCAAGTTCTGAGGAGCACGTTCTGAGGAGCACGTTCTGAGGAGCACGTTCTGAGGAGCAAGTTCTGAGGAGCACGTTCTGAGGAGCAAGTTCTGAGGAGCACGTTCTGAGGAGCAAGTTCTGAGGAGCAAGTTCTGAGGAGCAAGTTCTGAGGAGCACGTTCTGAGGAGCAAGTTCTGAGGAGCAAGTTCTGAGGAGCACGTTCTGAGGAGCACGTTCTGAGGAGCAAGTTCTGAGGAGCACGTTCTGAGGAGCAAGTTCTGAGGAGCAAGTTCTGAGGAGCACGTTCTGAGGAGCACGTTCTGAGGAGCAAGTTCTGAGGAGCACGTTCTGAGGAGCAAGTTCTGAGGAGCACGTTCTGAGGAGCACGTTCTGAGGAGCAAGTTCTGAGGAGCACGTTCTGAGGAGCACGTTCTGAGGAGCACGTTCTGAGGAGCAAGTTCTGAGGAGCAAGTTCTGAGGAGCAAGTTCTGAGGAGCAAGTTCTGAGGAGCAAGTTCTGAGGAGCACGTTCTGAGGAGCAAGTTCTGAGGAGCAAGTTCTGAGGAGCACGTTCTGAGGAGCACGTTCTGAGGAGCAAGTTCTGAGGAGCAGATTCTGAGGAGCACGTTCTGAGGAGCACGTTCTGAGGAGCACGTTCTGAGGAGCAAGTTCTGAGGAGCAAGTTCTGAGGAGCACGTTCTGAGGAGCAAGTTCTGAGGAGCACGTTCTGAGGAGCACGTTCTGAGGAGCAAGTTCTGAGGAGCACGTTCTGAGGAGCACGTTCTGAGGAGCAAGTTCTGAGGAGCAAGTTCTGAGGAGCAAGTTCTGAGGAGCACGTTCTGAGGAGCAAGTTCTGAGGAGCAAGTTCTGAGGAGCACGTTCTGAGGAGCAAGTTCTGAGGAGCAAGTTCTGAGGAGCAAGTTCTGAGGAGCAAGTTCTGAGGAGCAAGTTCTGAGGAGCAAGTTCTGAGGAGCAAGTTCTGAGGAGCAAGTTCTGAGGAGCACGTTCTGAGGAGCACGTTCTGAGGAGCAAGTTCTGAGGAGCACCGTTCTGAGGAGCAAGTTCTGAGGAGCACGTTCTGAGGAGCACGTTCTGAGGAGCAAGTTCTGAGGAGCACGTTCTGAGGAGCACGTTCTGAGGAGCACGTTCTGAGGAGCAAGTTCTGAGGAGCAAGTTCTGAGGAGCAAGTTCTGAGGAGCAAGTTCTGAGCAGTTCTGAGGAGCAAGTTCTGAGGAGCACGTTCTGAGGAGCAAGTTCTGAGGAGCAAGTTCTGAGGAGCAAGTTCTGAGGAGCACGTTCTGAGGAGCAAGTTCTGAGGAGCACGTTCTGAGGAGCAAGTTCTGAGGAGCACGTTCTGAGGAGCACGTTCTGAGGAGCAAGTTCTGAGGAGCACGTTCTGAGGAGCACGTTCTGAGGAGCACGTTCTGAGGAGCAAGTTCTGAGGAGCAAGTTCTGAGGAGCACGTTCTGAGGAGCACGTTCTGAGGAGCAAGTTCTGAGGAGCAAGTTCTGAGGAGCAAGTTCTGAGGAGCACGTTCTGAGGTGTCTGAGAGCAACGAGAAAGGAGCTAAGGTGAAAGAGGGAGGAGTGGAGGAAGGCAGAGGAAGAGTGCACAGCGAGGAAGGCGATCAGCTTCTTTGAGGGCAAGAGGCGGAGAGAGTGAGGAGGATGCGAGCACGGGCCGGCGCCGGTGGTGACCCTGGCGGAGCCCCTGCGATACTGGTATCGGTATCGGTATCGGTATCGGTATCGGTATCGGTATCGGTATCGGTGTGAGCACCAGAAGTGCATGCAAAAGTTCCAGTGGCGGAGAGGTGACCCTGGCAGAGCCCCTGTTGATACTGGCATCGGCACCGGGAGTGAGGTGGCTTTTGAGTCAACTAGGTAAAAGCACCGGCACCAGTATCGGGAGTGAGGTAACTTTTGAGTCAACTAGATAAAAGCACTGGCACCAGTACCGGGAGTGAGGTGACTTTTGAGTGCAAAACGTACCGGGACTGATATAAAAGTAATGGTACCACCAGTACCGGGAGTGCATGTGAAAGTTCCAGTGGTGGCGGTGACCCTGGCCGCCTTGCGCACCTTTCGCCTGTGTTAGAACCTGGAAGTCAGTGGTACATTAACCGCTCATGAAAAACCACTCACCGGTTCACGATCCAACAAAAAGCTTAACCACAAAAACTCACTCGCTGGCTCTTTCAGCTAATGCTACTCTGAGCACTCGAGCAACAGATGGTGCCACCTGCACTGCCTTATGGCAGCAATGGCATCAGGTGATGGTGGAAAAAAGGACAGGAGAATTCACTGAACACTCACCGGCTCATTCAGCCATGCCACTCTGAGCACCCGCGCCACAGACGCTGCCACTTCCACCGCCCTCCGATTCCGCTCCTCCGTCCCTGCTCCCTCCCTCCCCTCCCTCTCCTCGCCTTCCTCCACCTCCTCCTCGTCCTCTCCCCCTGGCAGCTCGTCATCGGCCCATGACTCGACCAGAGACGCCAGCGCTGAGAAGAGCGCCCACACACGCTGAGTGAGGAAAGGAGGAACAGGGGGGGGGGGGGCAATGGCGGGGAATGGGGGGGAATGGGGGGGAATGGGGGGGATGGGGGGAATGGGGGGAATGGGGGGGAATGGGGGCAATGGCGGGGAATGGGGGGGAATGGGGGGGAATGGGGGGGAATGGGGGGAATGGGGGGGAATGGGGGGGAATGGGGGGGAATGGGGGGAATGGGGGGGAATGGGGGGGAATGGGGGGGAATGGGGGGGAATGGGGGGGAAGGGAGAGGACTATCAAAAGGCAGCAGGCCCTCCCCCTGGCAGCTCGTCATCGGCCCACGACTCGACCAGAGAGACCAGGGCAGAGAAGAGCGCCCATGCGTGCTGAGGGAGGAATGGAGGAACAGGGGGGAGGGAGGGTGGGAATGAGGGGGGGAGGGCGTGGACTGTGGACCATCAAAGGGCAGCGGTCCCTTCCCCTGGCAGCTGTTTGGGTCGACTCAAAACTTCCCCCTGGCACACACGAGAAAACCGTAACTGTTTTGAGGAGGCAGAGCAAAACAGGCATCAATAGCCTCTATTTCTGAGGTGCCTCAAGCAGAGGAGGCAGAGCAGAACAGGTGTCAACAGCCTCCATATTTGAGGCGCCTCAAAAAGAGGAGGCAGAGCAAATCAGGTGTCATTAGCCATTGCAGCGATAATAGCTGGCAGGCCCTTCCTGCAGCGGGTGTGCACGCCCTTCCCCCCCCCTCCACTGCCACTGACTCTAGATGGTCCAGAGCCCTCACTGCCAGCCGCTGACTCCTGAACGTCCAGAGCCCTCACTGCCTCCCCTCATATGCCACCTGGGTCGGTGTATCGTACCTACCTATCACCTGTCTGCACATGCGACCCTGTGTCTGCCTGTTACTGATTCGTTTGTACCTCCGACCAGGGCTCGTCTTGAGGTGGCAGAGCAACGCACGTGTCATTCGCCACAGTGTCGATTACAGCTGGCAAGTGGGTATGCGCACGCCCTTCCCCCCTTCCCCCCCTCTCCACCTCCCCCCTCCCCCCTCCCCCCTTGCCCCCTCCCCCCTCCCCCCCTTCCCCCCTCCCCCCCTCCCCCCTCCCCCCTCCCCCCCCCCTCCCCCCCTCCCCCCCCTCCCCCCCCCCTCCCCCTCCCCCCCTCCCCCCCTCCCCCCCTCCCCCCTCCCCCCCCCCTCCTCCCCCCCTTCCCCCTCCCCCCCCCCCTCCCCCCTCCCCCCTTCCCCCCTTCCCCCTTCCACCGCAGCGCAGCGCACGCCCTTCACCCCTCTACCGCCACTGTCCTTTGAGTCAACTCAAAAGTCACCCTTCCCCCCTCCACCGCCACTGTCTCCAACAGGTCAAGAGCCCTCACTGCCTCCCCCTCCTCTGCGGCCTGTACATACCTGCTACCTATAACTCTCAATGGTGGGCTCCCATCCCGTGACACCCATGAGTCATGACAGTTGGACTCGTACCTGCGACCACGGCTGGTCTTGAGGCAGCAGGGCAACGCACATGTCATTGGCCACAGCGTCAATAGTAGTTGGCAGGTGCACGTGCACGTGCATGCCCTCCCCCCCTTCCACTGCCACTGACTCCAACAGGTCAAGTCAAGAGCCCTCACTGGCGCGAAGGGACAGACGCCACTCTCCTGCTGCAACCGCACCAGCTCTGCAGCACTGTAGCCACCTGATTCCTACCTGAGACCAGGGCTGGTCTTGGGGTGGCAGAGCAGCACACGTGTCATTGGCCACCGCATCAATAATGGCTGGCAGGTGCACGTGCACGCCCTCCCCCCCCTCCACCGCCACTGACTCCAACAGGTCCAGAGCCCTCACTGCCTCGCTCTCCTCTGCTGCCCTTGTTGCTGCTACTATGGCTTGAAGAAACGCCAGCCAATCGGATGGCTCCACGTCATTCTGGATGAGAGAGGGATGGAGGGATGGAGGGATGGAGGTACACGCGAGGAAGGGAAGGGAGGAAAGGTTGCATTGCATGTCGTTCTGGAGCCGTCTGATCGGCTCCATGTCGTTCTAGTGATTTATGATCTGATTTTGACTTTTACAAAGGTCGTAACCAAGGTACAGTACAGGGAACAAAAAATGAGGACGTAAAATGAGGACTTCGAGGCGCGTCAGAACGAAACAAAGGGAATAACGACGAGGGATGCGTGGCAGTGACCTGGATAAGAAAGGATCTGACTTGGATGAAGAGGGAGCTGACCTGGATACCAAAGAAGCTGACCTGGATAAGAAAGTAGCTGACCTGGATGAAGTAGGAGACGGCATGAGAGGCCGCAGTGCGCACCACGGCCCACGACTGCCCGTCCACGTCCCCCGCTGCCATGGCCTTCATGGTCGCCCCGTACACAGGGGCGTGCAGGGACTGGCGGGGAGGGGGAGGGGACGGGAGGAGGGAAACGGGCGGGGAGGAAGAGTAAGGTTGACTGTTGACAGCCCCCGCTGCCATGGCCTTCATGGTCGCCCCGTACACAGGGGCGTGCAGGGACTGGCGGGGAGGGGGAGGGGACGGGAGGAGGGAAACGGGCGGGGAGGAAGAGTAAGGTTGACTGTTGACAGCCCCCGCTGCCATGGCCTTCATGGTCGCCCCGTACACAGGGGCGTGCAGAGACTGACGGAGAAGGGGCAGAGAGGAGGGGCGGAGGGGGGGGAAGTGAGGTAAGGAACAAAGATTGCCTGTCCACGTCCCCGCTGCCAAGGCCTTCATGCTCGCTTGGTAGACAGGAGCGTGCAGAGACTGACTGACGGGAATGTGAGGGAAATTGGAGAAGAGAACAAACACGACTGCAATACGAAGGCGGTGCAAGGTAAGGGAGGGAACGAAGGGAAGTGGACGGCCCGAGGACAAACAGCCGAAATCACTTCCACAGAACATGCACCCTTTCCTATCCAAGTAAGAGTTGGTTGAGGTATCTACCCAAATGCGCCCTGAGGCATCATTCGGATCATTGAACCGCCCTGAGGCAGCACTCCGGCATCATCCAGCATGGAAACTGAACTGAATACCTAATGAAGGTTGTACCACCATGCACCCGTAATTGACATCCAGGTGAGTAGTTTTTGAGTACAGGGTACACTAAACTGCCACGTCGGTCGGACCGACAAGGGACCCAAACTCACTAACTGGTGACCCTGGACTGGATTGGACTGGACTGGACTGGAGGAGTCCTGGGCGTCTCACGACACAGACGATATGATATGATACGATATGATCCTTTGATGCACGATAAAATCTCTGAGCTGGATTATTATCATCGGACAGTCCTCACCTCTGGCAGGGCGGCAGAGAGCTCTCCCAGCAGCCACGTGGCAGAGGCCAGTAGGACGGCGCTGACGTGGCGCTGCGCGAAGAGAGACAGAACGCGCACTGGCAGCAGTTGCTCCAGCTGACTGGGCTGCCGCTCAAAGTACTACCGGAGGGAAGGGAGGGGAGGGAGGGGGCAGGGGGGAAGGTGGGGTAGGTTTCACGCGCTGGTAGCGACCTGGCTGGCAGTACTGAGGAAGGGAGGGGGGGGGAGGGGGCATTGGAGGAGAGGATGAGAAACTAAGGGAGAGGAGAAACGATGGGATCCGGAGAGGAGAATGGGCGTTCGGGGAAAAGCAAGACGAGGCTAGATAGAAGGGTGCACCCCTTTCATGGCAGCATATGCTTGCAGGGCAGTTTTGAGACGCCTCAAAGGTTGCTCAAAACGAGGCTGGACTGGACTGGAGGAGAAAGAGGGTGCACCTCTTTCATGGCAGCATACGCTTGCAGGACGCCAAAGTAGCTGCCATGCCATGGGGTGGGATCGCACCACATGAGGAGCACACAGGTTGGCGAAGGGAGAACGGGAGGGGGGGGAGGAAAGGGGAGGCACAGAAGGGATGGATACTCCGTTCATGGGAGCATGTGCTTGCAGTGCAGGGCACCGAAGTAGCTGCCGTGGGTCGGCAGATAGGCACACACGAGCACATGGTAAGACGGGTGGAGGGGGGGTGAGCGAGACATAGAGGAAGAGCATGATACTCCTTTCATAGTAGCAGCACGTGCTTGTAACGCAGTGAGATGAGCACAGGAGCACAGACGGAGCCAAAGGAGGGGGAGCGAGGCACAGAAGGTCTACGTTGTCACAGGAGAGAGGCACAGGAGAGAACAAGGGAGGGATGGGAGGATGGAAAAGGACCCCAAGCCAAGCCAAACTCACTGGACGACAGCAGCACTGGCTGCATCCGCAGGAGCCAGCCGCCCCCCTTCCCCCGGCGCAAACATGCCGTCCAACGGGACTGCAGCATCGGCCGGTACGGCGAACCTAGACAGGTAAGGAAACACCGGAGGGAATGCTGAAACACGTCAGTCCCTTTTGTGTCGCAGGGAAGTTGAACAAACGCAATCTCTCATTCTTACAAAAAAGACACCTGGAAAAGGCAGGCGGCTGTTTGCTTGAAAGGAGCAATGGAACCCATAGCATAGCAGTCCGTGGGGATGAGTATGGCATATTGACAAAAAACACCTGGAGAGGAAAGGAAGCATGCCAGTGGCAGCTGCTGCATCCGTATCCTTATTAGCGGCCGGCCTTCTTCGTCCCCTCCTACCTGTGTCCTCAGTCTCTTTCAATCTTCCAACAAATCAACAAAACACACCTGGAGAGGAAAGGAAGCACCACAGTGGCAGCTGCTGCATCCGTGTCCTTAGTGGCGGCCGGCCGTCTCTGTCTCCTTCTGCCTGCTGCTGGTGAAGTCGACTTGGAGGGTGCGGCTGCTGCTCCCGGCTTGCCCTTGGCTGGGCTGCCCTGTTGAGGGGCGGTGGGGGGAAGGGGGGGGGAGGTGGGGACGAGGGAGGGGTTGAGGGGGGAGGGAAGGGGGGATGAATGAAGGTGAAGTGGGGGCACTAGGAGATGAAAAGAAGCTGCTGCTTCTGGCGTGCCCTTGTTCCGTGTGACAGTGTGTGTGTGTGCGCGCGTAAGCATGGTGTGTGTGTGTTCATGTGGGCTCCCAAAGGCATTACCTTGGGAGCAGCAATGAGTGCCAGTAGGTGAATGTGTTGCACGCATGCATGCTCGTGTGTGTTCCCAGTGAATGTGTGCGTGCCTGCGCAACAGTACGCGCGCCTGCGCATCAGTACCTTGGAAGTGGCAATGAGCGCCAGCAGGTGAGCAGCACACTGCCGTGGATCATAGCTGTCAATCTCATCCAAGTCATCCTGCTCGTGCCCAGGGTGGAGGGGGGGGGGGTGGGGGAGGGAGGTGGTGGGGAAGGAAGAGCGAGAGAAATAGAAAGAGAATGATAGGAAGATTCAAGGTGTGTTACTACTAGTGGTATCAAAATCGTTGACGCTGCTGCTGACACATGGAATGTGCTAAACTAAAACACCCCTTTTTGAATGCAGTAGTTAAAAAAAAATGTATAAATATAATATTCTATAAGAATAACGCCACTCACTAAATCTGTGGGTAGATTCCGTAGTACATACTCCTCCTCGTCCTCATCCCACAGCTCCAAATCCTGCCGCCCGAAGGCATGTGAGAAGGAAGAATAAAAGGGGAATCCTTTTTCTTAGGATTCAACTTACCCTGAGTGCTGAAACTAGGAATGACTCACGTGGGGTGGGGTGGGGGTGCAGTGCAGAGCAGGGTGCGTGACTGACAGGCTCAAGCAGATGGAATGTACACAATTGTGCTCATGAGGTCTTGAGATCCTCATGCTCATGAGGACTCACGTGGGGGCGCAGGCAAAGCACGGGGAAGATGGCCGACTCAAGCAGATGGGCGAAGTTGGGAGCCACCACCTTCCAACCCTGCAGGCACGGAAGGATTTGTGTGATAGACATTTAGATTTGAGACGTCTGAAAGCCGACTCAAGCAGATGAGAGAAGTTGGGAGCCACCACCTTCCAACCCTGCAGGCACGGAGGCATTTGTGTGATAGACATTTAGATTTGAGACGTCTGAAAGCCGACTCAAGCAGATGAGAGAAGTTGGGAGCCACCACCTTCCAACCCTGCAGGCACGGAGGCATTTGTGTGATAGACATTTAGATTTGAGACGTCTGAAAGCCGACTCAAGCAGATGGGCGAAGTTGGGAGCCACCACCTTCCAACCCTGCAGGCACGGAGGCATTTGTGTGATAGACATTTAGATTTGAGACGTCTGAAAGCCGACTCAAGCAGATGGGCGAAGTTGGGAGCCACCACCTTCCAACCCTGCAGGCACGGAGGCATTTGTGTGATAGACATTTAGATTTGAGACGTCTGAAAGCCGACTCAAGCAGATGGGCGAAGTTGGGAGCCACCACCTTCCAACCCTGCAGGCACGGAGGCATTTGTGTGATAGACATTTAGATTTGAGACGTCTGAAAGCCGACTCAAGCAGATGAGAGAAGTTGGGAGCCACCACCTTCCAACCCTGCAGGCACGGAGGCATTTGTGTGATAGACATTTAGATTTGAGACGTCTGAAAGCCGACTCAAGCAGATGGGCGAAGTTGGGAGCCACCACCTTCCAGTCCTGCAGGCACGAGGCATAGGGCGTAGAGAAAGGTTACTGAGAAGGCACCACCTTCGGCGCACGTGATTTGAGTCTTGACAATGGTGCAGCATGCATGCGACGCAATGGTGCAGCATGCACGAGAGACAGCCATCTTCTTGGGGGCGCCTCAAAGGCCACCAATCACAGATAGCATCGAACGAAGCTTTCAATACCTCTTCAACACTGGAGTGATGTTAGCCATGATAGAAGGGAGCAGCAGTGTCTAGTTTTGAGGCGCCTCAAAACGAAGCTTTCAATGCCTCTTCAACACTGGAGTGAGGGCAGACCAGGGCGGGGTCTGGTTTTGAGTTGACTCAAAGCAACGGCATGCACAGAAAAGCACCAAAGCTTCAATACTGCTTCAACACTCATCGCATAAGGACTGACCGGAGCGGAGCGGGTCTGCTTTTGAGTAGACTCAAAACCAGCGGCAAGCACAGAAAATCACGGAAGCTTCAATACTGCTTCAACACTCATCGCATAAGGACTGACCGGAGCGGAGTCGAGCACTTGCGAGAAGACGTTGAAAGCAACGGCGGTAACGATATAAGGCTTGCAGGCATGCATGCACGTGTGAGGACTGACCGGAGCGGAGTCGAGCACTTGCGAGATGGCGTTGAAAGCAACGGTGGTAACGATATAAGGCTTGCAGGCATGCATGCACGTGTGAGGACTGACCGGAGCGGAGTCGAGCACTTGCGAGATGGCGTTGAAAGCAACCGCGGCAACACGACGGGCAGCTGAAGAGGGCTGGAGAGGCGGGGTGAAGGGGGCACGGGGGACGGGGGGGTGAAGGAGTGAGAACGCAACAGTGGCTGCATACACGACGGGCAGCTGGCAAGAGGTGGAGATGAGGGATGAAGGGGGAGGGGGGAAAGGGGGAAAGGGGAGGGGGGAAGGGGGGAAAGGGGAGTGGGGAAGGGGGGAAGGGGGGAATGGGGAAGGGGGGAAGGGATGAAGGGATAAAGAAGGTCTCCGGATGCGAAAATAACAGGAATGGTGACAAGAACCAACACAGAAAGCCTTTTTACATCGTCTGTTATAAACACCAATCACTGGCATTGCAAGCAGCATCAAAGCAGAATTTTCGTAATATAAAAAGAAGATATCTAAAAGAAAACCAGAGAAAACAAAACAGCATTGTAACAGTAACACTGGAGCCCAGAAAGCTCCATCTACGTGTCATCACCTTATTGGTCCACAGAGAATTGCAGACGATGCCCATGATGGAGTCTACCATGGCGGGAAAGTGCCTGGAAAGAGCACACAGCAATGTGGGAGGTGCCGAGAAAATGGAAAATGAGGAGGGAAGGGAAAGGGAAAGGGAAAGGGGAAAGGGAAAGTGAAAGGGGAAAGGGAAAGGGAAGGGGAAAGGGAAAGGGAAAGGGGAAAGGGAAGGGGAAAGGGAAAGGGAAAGGGAAGGGGGTTGGGTTCGTTGAGGGCGAAGGAGGAGCAGAGGCAGTTTCGGAGACGCCCCAAAAAAGGAGGGGGTGGGTGGAAAGAGGGCAGAGGAAGACCACAGGCAGGAAAAAGAGGTCTGGGAAGATTCTTGATGTGCCTCGGAAATTTTCTACATCTGCAAACACTCCTACATAATCAGATTATTATGAGTTAAATGATTGAAAACCCTTCCCTGCTGGACGGGAAGGAACACGGTACTCACTTATTCGCCAGCTTCTGGTGCCGGCTCGCCAGCGCTTGGCAGATCTGCAGCGCTCTCTTGCTCGCCTTCAGCCGCACCTCCCACACCACAGCCCCCCCCTCCGCCGACCCCCCTCCCCCCTCCATGCCCTCCTGAGCGGCGGCAGCAGCAGCAGCAGCTGCAGCAGCTAGGGTTGCCGGGCAGTGCGATAGCAGAAGCAGCAGCTCAGGGACGATGGCATCGAGATTCTTGCGAATGGCGGCTGGCATGTGGCTCTGCACCTGCAATAGTTGAATAAGAAGGGGGAATAGGGGAGGCAGGTGGTGCTTGGAGGGCAGCAAGCAGGATACTGTCGATGCTCGCTTGACGGAGGGGCGGATTCAGGCAAGGGTGGATGGAGGGGGGATTCAGGCAAGGGTGGATGGAGGGGGGGATTCGGGCAAGCCAGGGTGGATTACCGAGAGGTGGAGGGTCTTGAGGATGAGCAGGAGGGCTTCATCGTGGGGCGACGGTGCTTGAGGGCTCGACAGTTTTCGAGTCGACTTGAAAGCATGTAGCCTGTGTTTGTTTTTTTCAGAATTCTCAAAAGGTCTGTGTGTGTAGTCCAACTCACCGAGAGGTGGAGGGTCTTGAGGATGAGCAGGAGGGCTTCGTCGTGAGGTGATGGTGCTTGAGGGCTTGACAGCTGCGCCTGCAGCATCGAGACAGCACTCACACGCAGAGGGAGGTAGGAGAGGAACCCTGTGCATGCTGCAGGAATGACGTGTAAGGGATGAGGCGAGTGGCAGCAGGTTGTATATTCGACGCACATTTCATTGCATTCAGAAACGTGTCGTGGGTGAGACGGTCACCTGAGCCGTTATAAGATCGTGCATGAGACGGTCACCTGAGCCGTTATAAGATCGTGCATGAGACGGTCACCTGAGCCGTTATAAGATCGTGCATGAGACGGTCACCTGAGCCGTTATAAGATCGTGCATGAGACGGTCACCTGAGCCGTTATAAGATCCTGCATGAGACGGTCACCTGAGCCGTTATAAGATCCTGCATGAGACGGTCACCTGAGCCGTTATAAGATCCTGCATGAGACGGTCACCTGAGCAATGCCATGCCTGCCCAGCAATCACCTGAGCCGTGATGAGGTGGTGCATGAGCGGCATGAGGGGCAGCAGCAGGTCAGAGGAGCAATCGCCTCCAGCACTATCATGCCATGTCTAATAGTCTAGCACACACATCACCTGCCCAAAGAGTCACCTGACCTGAGCCGTGATGAGGTGGTGCATGAGCGGCATGAGCGGCAGCAGCAGGTCAGAGGTGATCGTTTCTAGCACTGGCGGCACGGGCTCCTTCTCCTTGCTGGGGTCCAGGAAGTACTGAAGGGAGGGGGGGAGGGGGGGGAAGGTGGGAGGGGGAACAAAGGTGGGAGTAGTGAGGGGGCCTAGAAGGTTAGCAGCACACAATCGGTTCCAGCACTGGCGGCACGGGCTCCTTCTCCTTGCTGGGGTCCAGGAAGTACTGAAGGGAGGGGGGGAGGAGAGGAGGGGGGGAGGAGAGGATAGAGAAAGAAAGAGGTGGACACTCGGGGAGAGGGAGGATTATTGGGTTAAATTTTGAGTCGACTCAAAGATGTCACACGGAACTTTCACTCCACGTAGATACAGGGAGGGAGGGAAGGAGGGAGGGAGGGAGGGAGGGAGGGAGGGAGGCCCATTGGGTTAAGAGGAAGAAGATGAATCTACTATTCTAGAGAGGTCAAAAGCACCCAAGAGCATACCCTGTAGACATGGGCACAAGCCGAGCCACGCCTGGCTCGGCTCGGCTCGGCTCGCCTTTAAGGCGAGCCGAGCCTCCTTTTTTGGTACCTGGCTCGACTCGAGTCGAGCCGGCTCGGCTCGACTCGAGCCGGCGGCTCGGCTCGGCTCGCACACGTGAAATCAGGCGAGCCGGAGTCGAGCCGGCTCGAGCTGGCTCGATTTCGAGCCAGCCGGCTCGCGGCTAGGGAAAGGGGGGTTTCGCGACTGTCAAATTTCAGATCGACAAACCCCCCCCCCCCGCCAATATTGTCTGCCAACCCAACTTTCACCCTATCGCGCTAGTCTATCGACCTCAGCCAGCCATATTTAAACCGGCAGCTCCTCCTGATAGTTTTGCAAGATGTAGGAGCAGACGATCAGCTAAATAATATGGATTATCCCCTTATACTAGAGACCCCAAGCCCCGTGGCCCCAATTGAGAGCCCGCACAAGCCCCCCTGACGAGCCGAGCCGAGCCGGCTCGCCGGCGAGCCGGCCCTGGCTCGACCCCATTTTCACGAGCCGAGCCGGGGATCCTGAGGACCCGGCTCGAGGCGAGCCGAGCCGGCTCGACCGGCGAGCCGAGCCGGCTCGACCCCAAACGAGCCGAGCCGAGCCAGGCTCGGCTCATGCCCATGTCTAATACCCTGTATGGTCCTGTGACGGCACGAAGGACTGCAAGCACAGTGACTGCATTAACAGCAATCTGGCACTCTACTACACTCCTAATATGTCTCAACATACTCTCTAAGTCAATAACTTGAGTTGACTCAAAAGCAATCTGGCAGTCTACTACACTCCTAAGATGTGTCAACATACCCTGTAAGGCTTAGTGACGGCACGAAGGACTGTAAGCACAGTGACTGTAGAGAATGCTGCAGCAGGATCCGACGGTCCAGGAGCAGCGGAGGCAGAATCAACGGCTCGGATTAGATCACTGGACTGCAGGGCCGCTTTCAGCCCTGGGAGTAGCTGCGGCCAGCCGGAGGGGGAAGCCAACTCGGTTCGAACCACCGCAGAGAACTGGGGGGGCGGGGGGGAGGAGGGGGGAAGGGAGGGGAAAGAAAAAAGTTTTAACTTGAGGGGCGAAATCGCACTGCAGTAACACCTCTACCAAATTGCACAGCACCGCGCCACACTACCTCCTGCTCCCCCCCTTCTGTGTAACAACGTTAGCTCCCTCTGCAAGCACGTACCGCTACAGTATCTGTTCTCTCCAGTTCCCCGTAACACTTGCTGCGTCCTGTACTGTGGCTGCATCCTTGATCCATAATAACATACCGCTTCCGTAAGCACGGTCAGGATCTTCCCTGGCGTGCACCGCAGTAGCACCTCCACCAGTTGCACCCGCACCGCCTCCTGCTCCTCCCTCCCCCCTGGCAACTGCACGTGCCCCTTGCTGCCCGCCCCCCGCCACTTGACCACGGCAACGTTCTTGAAATAGAGGGCTGCAGGGAGAGCTGCAGGGGAGCCGGGCACTGGTGGAGGGAGGGGACGGGTGGGACGGGGTGGGTGGTTTTGACTCAAAAATGGCCACTTGACCATGCCGACGTTCTTGAAATAGAGCGGTGCGGGAAGAGCTGCAGGGAAACCGGGCACTGGGGGGAGAGCTGCAGGGAAACCGGGCACTGGGGGAGAGCTGCAGGGAAACCGGGCACTGGGGGGAGAGCTGCAGGGAAACCGGGCACTGGGGGGAGAGCTGCAGGGAAACCGGGCACTGGGGGGAGAGCTGCAGGGAAACCGGGCACTGGGGGGAGAGAACACACGAAAGGGGGAAGTGGAAAGATAAGGGCGCTTGAGTCAACGTACAAGCCGCTCCGTGCGAATTGCTCTCTCTCCCCCCCCCCCCATCTGCACCTGCCCCTTGCTGCCCGCCCCACGCCACCTCACCACGGAAATGTTATTGAAATACAAGGGCCCAGGTGTCAAGTTTAGGACCAGGGGACTGCTCACCCCGTTACCACTAGGCAGCACAGGATCCAATGGCGTTGGAGGGGGGATCGGGGGGGGACAGCGAGGAGACGAGAGAGATATCGCCCGGGGAAGGGGGGACAAGAAGAGGAGGGGGAGGGTAAGGGGGAGAGGGGGGGGAGGGGGAGGGGGGGGGGGGGGTTTGGGGGGGGTAGTTTGGGGGGGTAGGATTGTGGCGGGGTCGTCCGGAATGGGCCCTAAGCGAATTCGGATTCGTCCGGAAGCCCCCCTCGCCCACTTGGATACACGCCTGGCTCCATATAAACTCGACCCTTTCAAGATCCAGCACTCCTTCATTCTTTACTGGTCCCGGCGGGGTAATTACCCTTTTAAAACAGCCTCTGGCGGGAGGGGAGTTGGGCAGAGGGAGGAGGGAGAGGAAGGGCGGAACGGGGGGGTTGTGACTCAAAGGTTTAGGACCAAAGACTTGAGAACTGCAAAATTCGAGCCGGGAACCAAAGAATGGGCGATTAGACTGGACGATCCAGATCTCTTTTGCACCGTGCTCGCATTGTACGGCCGAGATTAACTCGCAAGGCCAGGGGTACGCCTTCAGGCGGGAGATGGCGAAAGCGCACGGCGAGAATGAGAATGAGGAGATTAAAATCGTTCCAGATATTTCGGAGACGACGCGACGGGCGAGAATACGAGGAGGCTGACTAGTTCAGAGATCGCAAATCCGAGAATGCGGGGGGTTGCAGCACGTCATTCACCATGATTCTTTCAAAAGTGCTAGATTGCGAATTCGAGAAAACGCGGAGAGAAAACAGGGGAGGGGAGCATAAAAGTCTGCTTTTTTTAGTCGACTCGAAGGGGGAGCGTCAACGCCGGACACACCTGCTGCGACGGACAGCACGTGGCCCAGGAACCCCGGGTGCTTGGAAGCTTCCTCCAGTGCTGAGCTGGCAGATCTCACGGCGGCCTCGTCAGCACTCGTGGTCTGCAGCAGCCACGCGCTCACCGCGTCCGCCCCTGACGCCGCCATGGCCGTCCGTTATAGTCACGCGGGAGGGGCTGGGTATGGGATCCTCTAGGAAACGCGCGAGTTGAGGAGACTAGAGATGTGCGGTGCAGTGATGGGGAATCTGGTTTGGGGGTCTTGGGAAGGGTTGAGGGTATGGGTTTGTCCGTGGTCGGTTCCGAGTGTGCTACGAAATTTTCCGTTATTGGCTAGACTGCATGAACACCTGGGGATGTGAAAGTATGACTCAAACAAATCATACTAATTCTACCTATTAAATGAATGTGTGCCTCCTCGTTACATTTTGGGTTGAGCCTTTCATGTTAATTATCTAACTCAATCTCCTTCACTCCTCTAAACTACCGTACCGTTGCCTCTTTTGCTTATCGACTTAATAAAAGTCGCGTTCATTCCTTGGGAATCGTGAATACCGTACCTTGGCTTGCGCAATTTTCCTCTTTCAGAGCAGGCACCAATGGGATCCACTTGTTTTTCTTAAAGCAAGCACAAACTTTGAACCGTCTCCTTACAGATTAAAGCCCCCAAACACAAGCTACTACCTTCGCTTCTTGGGTTTCTTCTTGAACACTGGGGTCTGCACCTTCTCCATATAAAGAGCGAGCTCCAAAGGGATCCACTCATTCAGCCCGATCTCCTCCCTCGTATCCTTCTCCCTCCCCCTTCCCCGAACCCCTCTCCTCCTCTCGAACCCGCCAGGCTCTGAGCCTCTCCCTTCCCGGTTCTCGATGCCTAGCTGAGAGGCAGTATCAACCCCCACTTTTAGCCCGTGCTGTCCTCCCTGCCTTGAATCGTCACCGCCTTTAGGCTTGACGAGGAAACTTTCCTGCTCCTTCCCCTCTGCTTCCCGCTCCCATTTCAAGCCACCGCCCTCCTCTCTGTGATGGTCAGATTCCGCTTCTTCGTCCTCCTCCCAATCCTCATCTCCATCATCGTCAACATCATTTTCATCCTCCTCATCCTCATCGCCCTCATCGTCCTCATCGTCCTCCCCTTCCTCTTCCTCTTCATCCTCATCCTCCTCGTCGTCCTCTTCCTCATCCTCATCTCTTCCCACCTCATCCGACCCATCTGAACCCCATGCATCATCAGACCACACCTCCCCACCCTCTTTCCCCTCTCTACCCATCAACCCCCCACCCCCCACCATCGTTTCCCCCACTTCCTCCTCCCAACCCCCATCCTTTTCCACCTCCCCACCACATTCTCTCTCCCCACTCTCTTCCACCAAACCACCTCCCCTGACATCAAGCCTGCTGGCACCACCCGCCCGTGAATCACCTCCCCCAAACCTCATCCTCACGCCCGGCCGAAGCTCGTCCCTCAGGCTCGGCAGCACATGCCCCTCCATGAACTTCCACAGCCTCGTCGCCGTGGCTCCGCCGAACCGAATCAGGTTCGGCGCATCCCACGGACTTTCCAAAGCCACCCTCCCCATCTGCGCCTTCCACCTCAACCTATCCCTCACTCCACTCCCCTCCCCTCCCTCCTCCCCATCCCCTCCCTCCTTTCCCCTCCCCCCCTTTTTCAACTTCTTCCCCTTCTTCCTCCCCCCTCTCTCCAGCACCCGTTGCCCAGGCCGCCGATACCTCATCTTCACCCAACAATCCCTCACCGACACACAAAGCGCCCGCGCAATCCTTCTCAAGTCCCGACTCGAATACTGCTTGGCGTGCAGGATCATCCCCCCGGTGTCCTCGCAGCGCCGCCCGCTGTACATGTACCAGTGGGCGAGCGTCTTGGGGGTGAGCCAGCGCTGGATGAGTTTAGGCACCGCGCGGTTGCCCTGCGGGTGGTACCGCTGCGCGTGGTAGCGCAGGGACGTGTGGGGGATGGTGGCAAAGTGACGCACGCGGATGGGATGCACGCCTGCTGCTGCTAGGGGGTCGGAGGCACCAGCAGCAGCAGCAGCAGCAGCAGCAGCAGCAGTGGTAGCAGCGGTGTTAGCAGCAACAGCGGCAGCGGCGGCGGCAGCATCAGGCGACGCACTAGGCGCGGGCGGCATGAGCAGGAGCATGTTTCTGGGCGGCGCACTGGCCCATGGGCCAAACGCCCGGAACAGCGCCTCCAGCAGGTCTACACGGCCAGGATTGTCCAGCGGCTGCTCAAAGTGGATCTCGTACGTCCGTTCGTTGTCCTGCGCAGCAATCCTCGCACCGCCCAGCAGCACCCCTGCAAGCACCTGCCGTTGCTCTTTACTCAGCTTCATGCTCCGGCTCTCGTCCCTCAACACCCTCAGCTTCCCCACTACTGCTTCTGCCGCTTCCCTCGCCGCTCCTACCAACACCATGCCGGGTTTCCTCCCCCGGTCTTTCCTATTCCCCACCATTTCCACATACAGGGAGCGCACAGCTCGGGTGTCGCCTGCTGCTCCGCACGCTGCTATGAGCAGGTTGTAGGTGTGTCCGTCTGCGCCTGTCTCTTTGTTGGAGTTCATTTCCAGGAAGATTCTCTTTGCCATGCCGAGGTTCCCGGCTTTGATGTGCGCTGCCAGGCGCAGGTGGTAGGACGTGCGGTCGGGGATGCACCCCACCTGCGGTAAAGAAGGGAGGGAAGAAAGAGAATTAGGAACAGAGAGGAATGTGTTTGAGGCACCTCAAGATTCTCTTTGCCATGCCGAGGTCCCCAGCTTTGATGTGCGCTGCTGGCGCAGGTGGTGGGACGTGCGGTCTGGGATGCACCCCACCTGCAGCAGAGATTATGGGAAAAAAAAAAAAAAAAAAAAAAAAAAAACTAAACTAAACTTGAAACTGTGTGGGAAGAGGGGGCTTTGATGTGTGCCACCAGGCGCAGGTGGTAGGAGGCACAATTGGGGAGGCACCCCGCCTGCAAGGCACCCCACCTGCAACGGGGACGCGGAAATGGAGAACAGGAGAAATAAGAGAGCAAGCGCTCCATTGTGTGGGAAGAAGGGGGTCTTGGTTCTCTGCTGCCAGGCGCATCAGGTAGGAGGTGTAATCGGGGAGGCACCCCAACTGTGGCAGAGATGGGAAAAGGAGAAAGTGAGAGGAAACCACCAAGCGTGAGGTTGTGTGGAAAAGAGGGCTTTGATCTGATGTGTGCTGCCAGGCGCATGTGCGATTGGAGAGGTGCGATTGGAGAGGTACGATCAGGGAGGTGCGATCAGGGAGGTCCGATCAGGGATGTGCGATCAGGGAGGTGCGATCAGGGAGGTCCGATCAGGGATGTACGATCAGGGAGGTGCGATCAGGGAGGTCCGATCAGGGATGTGCGATCAGGGATGTGCGATCAGGGAGGTGCGATCAGGGAGGTGCGATCAGGGATGTGCGATCAGGGAGGCCCCCCACTTGCAGCAGGGGATGGGAGAATGAGAGGAGGAGAGTAAACAAGAGATGAAGGGAATCTGATGTGTGCCGTTGCTGCAGACGGCAGGACGTGCAATCGGGAAGGCACCCCACCTGCAGCAGTGAAGACACAAGGGGAGCACCTGAGGAGACCTGAGGAACCCCACCGTCTGCTGGTGCCTTCCACACAATGGATCAACAAGAGGAGGCCGTTCAGGCGTGACTGGTGGAGGTACAACAAGTGCAGCAATGGAAGGATGGCAGGACGAAGGAGATGGAGAGAGGGAAGGAAGGAAGGGCGCGCCCACCTCCTTCATGCCTTGGAAGCGCCTCTCGAGGTCATTCAGGCGCGACTGGTGGAGGTACATCTGCAGCAGCGAGTTGAAGGCCGCAGTCAGCGGCCCTCTCTCTGCCCGCAGCATCTCCCGAAAAAAACGCCTCTGCCTCCTCCCCCCACCGCGCTGCCTCCTCTCCTCGCCCCTCCGCCGCTGCTTTAGCAGCCGCGCCTGTGAGCGCTGCCAGGTATGCATTGCACGCCCGCAAGCCGGGCAGATTCGCACCAGCGTTAGCGCCTGCTGCTGCTGCTGCTGCTGCTGCTGTCGCCCTGCCCCATTCTCCTCCCTCCCACTCTCCCACCCTTCCTGCACCCATACCGCCCATCCGCCCTTCCCCTTCCTCCTCCTCCCCCCCTTGTAGCACCATGACATGCGGCCATGCACCCATGCTCGCCTCATACCTGCCTGCATGGTTCAGCGTCTCCATATACGCTGCCCACACCCTCTCACCCACCACATACCCCCCGGCTCCCTCCTCCCCTCCCCCCCCTCCGCCCCTTCCCCCCCTCCGTGCTCCTCTCCCGCCTCTACAAGTTCTTGCATGGCAGCGGATGCATGGTCCACTAGAGCATCAGCAGGCACTTCCCCTTCCTCCTCGCCCGCCCCTCCATTACCCACTCCTCTCACACCAAACTCGCTGCCCTCTCCCCCCTTCTCCCTGACATCAGCACCCATACTCGCTCCCATGGCTGCAGCACCCGAGTCTGAAGCTACACCTCCCCCTGATCCCACCTTCTCCCTCCTCTTCCGGCTCCTGTATACAGCCCGAGCACACGCAAAAACCACGGCTTCTGTAGCTTGGGGCGGCACCTTTCGTCCCGATGCGGCCAGGTCGTCCCTCATCTGCTGTAACAGGGTTACCACCTTGCTGACGTGGCCCTCCCTGGCATAATGCCGCACCAGCGACGCGTACATGTGGACCAGCGGGCCCGAGCTGCGCTGCTGACGTGGCTGCTGGTTCCTTCCTTTGCTCCTTTCCCTCCTCTCCCTGGTCTCCCTCAGAAGCGCCTCTGCCTTGTGCATGTGCCGCCCACGCCACTTGGGGCTGGAAAAGGCCTGCACAGATGTGCGGGAATGGGGGGAATGGGGGGGAATGGGGGGGAATGGGGGGGAAGGTGGGGGACTGGGGCTCGCCACTTGCTCAAGATATGACTCTGCCTTGCCCGTGTGCTGCCCTTGCCACCTGGGGCTGTAGGCCTGGAGGAATGGGGGGGAATGGGGAGGGGGGGACGGGGAGGAATGGGGGGGAATGGGGAGGGGGGACGGGGAATTCGAGGCACCTCCAATAATATATATAGACTCTGCCTTCCTCGTGTGCCATCCTGCCAATTGGGGCTTGAAAAGGCCTGGTGAAAACTATGGGCGGGGGGGGAGAAGAGGGAAAGAGAAGGGGTTTCGAGGGGCCATTTATATCGATGCATTTCTATATAATCCCATTGATAACCCTTGACTATGGACTTTGGCCTGACTATCGGTGTGCCGGCCACGCCAATCGGAGCTTGAGAAAGCCTGAAACGAGGGAGAGGAGGGGGGTGGGATTACATGGGGCCGAAAAGTGAGGAATCTGGGCAGTGAGTTGCCCATGCCTATGGGCAGTGGGTTGCCCATGCCCATGGGGCGGTATGTCAAGGAGACCTTGATCCTGCTTCGCCCATATGCATCCCACTCCCCACACTCACCTCGAACATGTGCGTTTTTCGAGAGCTGCTTTCTCAAACGGGTACTTCAGCAGCGCACGCAACCATGCAGGCACGCAGCGTGAGGAGGGAAGCAGAGGGGCTATTGGCATGCACACGTGAGAGAGAGAGAGAGAGAGAGAGAGAGAGAGAGAGAGAGAGAGAGAGAGAGAGAGAGAGAGAGAGAGAGAGAGAGAGAGAGAGCTGGCCGCCAACGAACAGCTTTTCGCGGGGGTAGCCAGCTGGGATATCGGGCTCCTCTGCGACAGTCGCCAACCCCCCCTTTCCCGCAAGATCCCCCCCAAACTTCGCCAGCTTTTCGCCCTCGTCCTGCTGACACCCCTCCTCCACCTCGCAGCCCAACCGACCAGCCTGCCAGGCTGGCGCCTGTTACTTTTCGTACCTCGACTGACACTTCGCCTCAACTCGCCAAACACCCTGACTGGCCCACGTGGAAAAAAGGCTCCAGCAGTTCCTGGCAGGCGATTGGCACGAGCTTTACCTGGCAGCAGTGGACGCCATCCACGACCCACCGGCGCCACGTCACACAGGGGACGCCCTCGGCAAAATATCTCGAGCCGAGGGGCTGGTCCGCCGAGGCAGCCTGAGGCGCGCCCTGCTGGCCCTCGACTCGACACCGGTCAGCGAGTCAACCCAGGAAGTCCTCGAGGCGTTGAAAACCAAGCATCCACCGCCGCTGACTGAGTCACTCGCTTGGCCACACATCGACGAGTCGGAGGTCCCCCCCTCCCTCACGCTCGCAGAATTCACCAGGTTACTGAGTCGCAGCGAAAACGGGGTCGGCGCGGGCCCCTCGGGAATGTGCTTCGAACACATTCGCGATGCAGCCCTCGCCAACAGCGCCGTCGCCAGCAAGCTCCACATCCTCGTAACTCAATTGCTGCGGGGCGACTCCACTCCTGACGTAGCAGCACTCCTCACAGCCAGCCGCCTACTCGCCTTCCCTAAACCCGACGGAGGCACGCGCCCCATCGCCGTGGGCGAGTGCCTCCACCGCCTTGCCGCCAAAGCAGGACTCATCTCGATGGCGGATCGGGCGCGCAATCACTTTCTCCCACTGCAGTTTGGCGTCGCGGTAAAAGCCGGCGGAGAGGCAATAATCCACGGGGCCCGCGCGTTCGCCACCGAGCGACCATCCTCGCTCCTACTACAGATCGACCTCACCAACGCTTTTAACAGCGTCGATCGCAGCGCCATCGTCTCAGGCCTCTATAACTCCCCCCTCCGCCCTCTCCTACCCTTCGTCCAACTCTCGTACGGCGCCCCCTCCCAGCTGTACCTCGACGCCGGCTTCAACAGCCCGCCCCTGCTCAGCGCTCGAGGCGTCCAGCAAGGGGACCCTATGGGTCCGCTGCTCTTTGCCGCCGCCATGCACCCCGCCCTGCAAGCGACCGCCGCAGCGTACCCCAGCGTCCTGTGCCTAGCGTACGCTGACGACATCACGCTGCTAGGCGAGCCGGCAGTGTGCACAGCGGCGTTCACGCACCTCACTGACGCTCTGACCCCCCTGGGCCTCACGCACAACCCATCTAAGTGCGCGGCCTGGTCCCAATCCCAACCTCCTCCCTCCCTCCTACCCCCCGGCATCCCGTTCCGCGACTCTGGATTGCGGGTCCTGGGCAGCCACATCGGCCCCCACGAGGCTGCGGCTCAGTTCCTGCGCGAGCAGCTGGCTGACATGGCCAGGCAGCTCCCCGCCCTCGCCGCCATGGACCCCCAGTCCGCCTCCCTCCTCCTCCACCGCTGCGTCTCGCGGCGGGTATCTTACCTCACCCGCACAACCCCACTGAACCTGCTCCCACAGGGGGAATGGTCCATTTGGGGGCGGGAGCTCTTCCTTACCCTCCTCCGCTCCTGCAAACTCCAGACACCACGGGGAGAGCGGGAACTTGCACGCACCTGGGAGCAGGCCTCACTCCCACCCTCCCTAGGGGGCCTGGGCTTAGTGGACCCAGCAGTGGACGGTCCACATGCGTTCTTGACCAGCGTGGCCCAGGCGCACAGGCTCCTGCTCTCCCTCCCCTCGGACCCCACCGGCCCCTTGGCGACCGCCGCATGTGCTCTCGCACCCCCCTACACCAGCCCCACCCCACTTCACACCTGGCTGGCGGAATGTGAGGCAGCACTCCCGGCCCCGGCCCTGGAGCTCCTGCGAGCCGAGCGCCTGGAGCCCTCAGACGAGCCCCTCCAGCACCGACTCGCCCTGGAAGTCCACGCGGCACGGTTTGCTGCTCTGCTGGCGGCCACCCGGGAGATGGAACTCAACCCCAAGAGCGGCCACACACAACGGCTCCTCTCCCTCACTGGTTATGGCGCAGGAGACTGGCTCCTCGCTATCCCACTCTTCCCCTCCCTCCGCCTCGCCCCCCCGCACTTCGCCATAGCCCTGGCATTCCGCCTGGGCCTCCCCTTCCCCGCACCCAAGGTGTGCAACTGCACCAAGCGGGTACAGATCCTGGACCCACGACTCCCGAACCACCTGTTCCGCTGTGGGACCGGACACGGCCGCACCGACACCCATAACGCCCTCAGGGACGAGTGCATCCGCATGGCACGGGACGCCCAATTCATCGTCACCAAAGAGACGGCGATCTACAACCCGGTCGACGGCAAAACCGCCGACCTTGCCATCCAGGATCGGGACTCGGGGGCGGTGTGGATCTGCGATGTCACCGTCACCGACCCGGTCAGCTCACGAGACCCGCTAGCCCGTAAAGGCCGCGGCTACATGTCCAGAGAGCAGGCCGACAAAAAGATCGACGACTACCGCAGCCGGGCGGAGTACGTCGGTTTTTTCCCGCTGGCGGTAGAGACATACGGCTGCCCCTGCGCCGAGGTGCCCACCTTCCTCAAACTCCTGGCACACACGGCCGCCCGCCGCCTTTTCAACGCCGACCCCAGCTCCTACCAAGCCGCAAAACTGCTCAGCCAGTTCCGGCAACGCTGGTCCATCACACTCCAACGGGGACAAGCGCTCTCGTACCTGGGGAAGGTGAACGAGGCCTCTCCCCTTGAGTGGCCCCCCTTGGGCGCCCCGGACGCCTGCATGTCCCTTGGAGACTGTTTTGCAGTGATCGAGCACCAGGGCAAACGAGAGTAGAAGGGGTCCCGATAGGAGACTCACCTAAGCCGAAACACCAGTTTGTACCAATCCGGCATGCCTAGTTTGTACCCAGGATTGCCCATCAACGACGGACCGTTCGAGAGAGAGAGAGAGCCCATGGTATATAATGCTCTCCCACCCATCCTAGAGTTCATTATTTAGTTTCGAGTTGAGTTCTTCATCCGGTCCCTGCAGCGGCGCTCGCGCCGGCGGCCTTCGGCCGCCGTCGCTCGCGGCGTGGCCTCCGGCCGCGCAGGAGGGCAGAGAAGGGGAGGTGAAAGGTATCCTCTCCAAAACCAGGGATATTACAGCATACAAGCATGCCTCCACAGGGGGCTACAACCTAGCACATAGCCTATGGCTCGGCGTCACCCACAGCGCACGATGGCGGGGACCTGGCCTACACGCCAGACAACCGCCCACCTACTACACCTCCAAAGCCGATGGTGGGACAAGGGCCCCGGCCCGACTCTCCAAAGCCCGAAGCACCGCCGCGCAAGCGGCCAAGATCGCCGGGCGCTGATTCGTCACGAGCGACCGATTCAACTCATCAACGGCGCGAGGAGCGGGATCCAGCTCCCCCGCCTCTGCTCCTGGCGGCAACCCATAGGCCAGCCGCCAGAGGAGTAGTGACGCGGCCTCTATCGCGCGTCGCTGCTGGCGGCAAGACATCGCAGGCCGCCATGACCGACCCGCCTCAGGTTTCCGGGGAGGTACCTGCAGCGGCGGTGGGCGGAGACAATCCACCACCTCCGCAACCGCGCCAATACATGCGACGACGCCGTCCATCGCCTCAACTGGCGAGAACGCGTGCGGCGACGTCAGGTGGACCGGCGGACGAGGAAGCGGCGGCAGGTCGTCGAGCACAGCCACCGACGCCGGCGGCATACCCCGCCCCGCCCGCAAACCCGACCCCTGAGGACGACCGGAGAGAGGCGGAGTGCGGTCCCTTCGTCTTCCGGGCAGCACGGTCTGAGGTGACCCTGCCCGAGAGCCCGCCGCGGCGCCCCCGCGGGGACGCTTCATCGGACCAAACGGCAGTGGCGGAGACCCCGCAGACACGCCCTGGCCCGATACGACGTCGCGTCCGACAGCGGCTGGTGATCCCGCTGGCGACTTTGGAAGAGGCAGAGGAGGCGGTGGGAGGACCCCGCGGGGAGAGGAATCGGGACCACCGGCGAACGGCGTCGACGGAGGGGGAGCCGGGGGGGCCAGAAGGGGCGACGGCGGAAGGGGCGATGGCGGAAGCCGAGACGGAGAAGGAAACGACGACGGCTGAGCCGGGGACAGGGCAGACGAGCGACGCAGGGAGCGATCCATGGGACTTCCCCCGAAACCCTCTCGTACAATCGCGGGCGCGGGCTCAGGCGGCGGCGCAGAACACACGACCCGGTCGCCAACAGCGGACCGAGGCAGCCGCAGAAGCTGCTCGAGAGCGCTCGCGATCGCTGCCACCTGGACCTGCTGCTGCCGAATCTCCAAGCACAGCTGGGACGTTGGCAACAGAGCTAGCGAGACGCCGGAAGGAGAACCCACCGGCGACAGGGACGCTTCTGCCTCGCGTAGGGGCAGGCGCGAGGGGGAGAAGAGCAACCCCTGCGTCATCTCTAGCGCAGCCGGAAAGAAGCAGAGCCCCGCACACGCGAGCCACGGCCCGCGCAGGTACAACCGCAGCCCTGGGGGGGGAGCGGGCGAGAAGCACAACCCGAGGACACAGAGGAACAAGGGGCAGACAAGGGCTCGGGCGAGCGTCGACAGGCGCTGCAACCTTCCGCGGCGTCGCCACGCGTCTACAACGCAAAGAACGGCGCTGGGGAGCAACCCCAGCCGCTGCAGCACCCAACGCTAGTAGAGAGAAGGAGTCGGAAGCAGGCGGACGCGAGGGGACGGACCGAGGGATGGAAAACTGGCTAAGTGCTGATACTCTAGTTGTAGACACACCAGGAGGAGGAGCTACGCGGGGAGCAGCGGAAGGGAACACTGAGGGAGCTGATGATGAGGACGATGAAATTCAACACGCAAGCGACCCCACTTATACCCCTCCAATCATGGTAAACTGGGAAGGCACCCCAGACGAGGGAGATTTGGAGGACTCCCCCGCCCGAAACGCAAATGTGCGGCCCGGCCAATCCAACCGGCAAGCCGCCACATCCAACACCCGCCGCGGCTCGGCAGTCACCTGCAGACCAACCCCTGCAGCGCGGGTACAATCCCCTCTGGCGTTGGCGAAGAACGACGAACTTTTCGCCAAATTGTGCGAGTGGGACATGACTGTGCTCCACGACTCCAGGCTCCCACCCCTGACACGTCGCCTACCGCGCGAAATCCTGGCGAAATCGCTGCTGCACCTCGCGCGTAACAGGGACAGCAGAGGAGATTGGCGCCTGTTACTCCTCCTCCCTCGCCTGACCCTCGCAACTACGTCGACGAGGAAGCCGGACTGGGATGGAATGTTACGACGTTGTCGCAAATTCGCCACAGGCGCCTGGGAGTCACTGTACGACGAGGCCGTGACCTCGATTTCACTACCACTACCCCCGCGTCACGCGAATGACACCGCCGGGCAATTAGCCCGAGCGGAAACACTCACTAAGCGCGGGAACCTGCGTAAGGCCCTCCAAGCCCTGGAATCCACCCTTGTGTGCGAACCCACCCTGGAGACACTTAACGCCCTCCGAGACAAACACCCCGCCGCCGAACACGCCCTCCCCAACTGGGCGACATTCACAAGCACAACACCGATTGACGCCGTTACAGCGCCGCAGCCGCCGCGTCTCACCATCACACCACGGGAGCTCAAAGCCGTACTACGACGGAGCCCGAATGGGGTTGGGGCGGGGCCCAGCGGTATGTGCTTCGAACATCTAAGGGACGCAGCCGCCTCGAACGCTGACGTCCTGAATCTGCTCACAGAAGTGACCAACGCGGCACTCGCAGGGCAAGTGCCGCTAGAGGCGGCGGACCTCCTCACCGTCTCAAGATTGCTGGCATTCACCAAACCCGACGGCGGCACCAGGCCCATCGCCATCGGCGAGTGCCTACTACGCCTCTTCGGGAAGGCCAGCCTGCACCTCACGACGGCCCTGGCCCAAGCCCACTTCGCGCCCCTGCAGTTCGGAGTGGCGATGAAGGGAGGGGGCGAAACGGCGGTGCACGCAACAAGAACCCACCTCGAACGGCACCCTGAACACCTGCTCCTCCAGGTGGACTTCTCCAACGCGTTCAACTCAGTCGAACGCATCGCTTTCTTCCGCGCCCTACGCGACAGCCCGCTGAAAAGGCTGCTGCCCCTAACCCACCTCTCCTATGGAAGGCCATCGAGCCTGCTGCTCGACCACGCATTCGGCGCTGACCCGCTCATCAGCGAGCGGGGCGTACGGCAAGGCGACCCGCTGGGCCCCATGCTGTTCGCCCTCGCCCTCCACCAGGCGGTGATCATGACAGCAGAGGAGTACCCAGACGTCCTCCTACTGGCATACGCCGACAACGTGACCATCATCGGCCCGCCGCCGGCATGCGCAGCCGCCTTCTATGCCCTCACGGGTCGGGCAGCAGCGGTTGGACTCACCTACAACGCCAGCAAGTGCGCAGCCTGGTCACCCGCACCGGTGGACCCCGCGCTCATCCCCGCCGGAGTACCACTCACCCATGGCGCAATCAAGGTCCTGGGCAGCCCCATCGGCACCACCCACGGATGCGGAGACATCATCCGCCACACACTCGAAAAAGCGGCAGCGGCGCTCCCCCTGGTAGAGCAACTGCACCCGCAAGTCGCGCTGCTGCTCCTCACCCGCTGCATCACGAGGAGGGCATCCTACCTCCTCCGCACCACCCCCACCGACCTCCTCCCCCCCGAGGAATGGACGCAGTGGGGGAAGTCCCTGCTGGAAGCAGCGCTCAAGTCATGCGAGCTCCAGCAGCCACGGGATGCTGAGGGCCGAGATCTCCTCTGGCGACAGGCGACCCTGCTGATCACCATAGGAGGCCTCGGCCTCATTGACCCCGCCGCGGAAGGCAGCTACAGCTACCTGGCCTCCGCACTACAGGCCGATGACCTCCTCCGCTCCATGGAACCCCCTGACCCCTCACCCTTCGCCGACCTCCTCCACCTCCTCACTCCGCCCTTTACCACCCAAACGCCCCTACACCGCCTGCTCAACTGCCTGGAAGCGGCACTCCCCGCACCAGCGCAGTCAACACTCACCCGCCCGCGCGACGAACCTGGCGCCAAGCTCCAGCATGCCCTAGCATTGGAGGTACACGGGGCCAGGCACGCACGGCTAGTGGCAGACTCCAGACACATGCCGCTCAACCACTTCCTGGGTCACACCCAGCGCCTCCTCTCCCTGCTCGGGCCAGGGGCAGGGGACTGGCTGGTCGCCATCCCCTTCTTCCTGGACCTAAGCATGAGCAAGGGGCAATTTGCCACGGCCCTAGCCTTCCGCATGGGCCTGCAGCACTCCTTACCCGGCAAATGCAACTGCCGGGAAAAGCATGAGATACCACACAACCGGCTGCCCAACCACATGCTACGATGCACCCTGGGCGGGGGTCCAAAGCGGACCCACGACGCACTCGTGAACCTCGGGATGCGATTGGCCCGAGAATCCCACTTCGTGGCTCACATGGAATCCACACTCTACTTACCCGAAACTGCCCAACGCCACGCCGACATCACCCTCCGATGCCCGGACTCAGGCGCGGTATGGGTCTGTGACGTCACAGTCACCGACCCCATCTCAACCCGCGACCCAACAGCACGAAAAGGGACGGGGTGGATGGCGGCAGAGATGCAGGGCAAGAAGCGGGACCTGTACGACAAACGACTCACCTTTGTGAAGGTGCTGGGAGTCGCCACACAGACATATGGCTGCTGCTCCCCCGACACACTTGAGTTCCTCCGAGTACTGGCTGCCCTCTCAACCCGCCGGAACCACCAGGCCGACGAAAAGTC